TGTTCCAGACTTTTTAAAAAAAAAATTTATTTATTGACAGATCACAAGTAGGCAGAGAGGCAGGCAGAGAGAGAGAGGAGGAAGCAGGCTCCCTGCTGAGCAGAGAGCCCAATGCGGGGCTCGATCCCAGAACTCCGGGATCATGACCTGAGTCGAAGGCAGAGGCTTTAACCCACTGAGCCACCCAGGCACCCCTGTACCAGACTTTTTATGTTTATATAGGAAACTAGCTTGGAGGACAGAATATTTTCCTCTTGGACAGCTTTGCTTGTATACTCTTTAAAAGACTAGGCTTCCTGAGCTAGAAATTCCTCAGCTGTGACTCAAGCGTATTTATGTGCAGTATCTGCCTGGGCTGGCAGCTCCTGTAGCCCCGCGGAAGTGGGGAGACAAGAAGAGCAGATGGGGAGTGTGACGCTCACAGAGCCTGCGGTGCCCCTGACCCGGGACTTTCCTGAGAGAGGAGCCTAACTTTGGAAGGTTAACTCATTAGGCTGCACATGGCATCTGAGACCCTTCATTGTTCTTCGTACCAACCACCTCCCAAATTGAAATTTCACAGAACAGGATTTTTAGTCCGACCTAATTTTCCACCTCTCTCGCAAATGATCTAATACAATTCCAGCACAATGAATAAATACAGATTGTCTTCTGGATTTTGTTGCAAAGGGACCTAGCATTTCCAGCTAGAAAACTGAGATATAATATAATCTACGATATAATATAGATATAATATAATCTAAGAGATATAATATAATCGAAGAAAGACAAAGGTTAGATAGGGCTAAAAGAGTAAAGGGGAAGGAGGTAATCCTAGAAGGTGGAAATAGGAATAAATTACAAAGCATGTCTTTAATTTTGGTTTAGTCCCACAAGCTAAACCAGTCTTTGCTAATGAAAATTGTAGCCCTATCGCCCTCTACCGGAACCAGGTTGGAAACTACAGGGAAATAATCTGAAGCGGCTCTTTAGGGAAACTGCTCCCATTTCTGTTATCTATTGCTACCATTTTCTAGATTTCAAAGTGTAAACCTCAGGTGTTCAGAAAGATAAAGGAACACAGCTCCCTTTGCACATGCGGCCTGACAGGTTAATGCTGAAACACCTGGCGCAGAAGAGAGTGGACAGTCCTTCCCATACTCACCTTTAATTTGTGGCAGCCAGATTACAGGGACCTCTACCAGCGGTCGCCTCTGCTGGACGTCCCGGCAAGCAGTCCCTAGCCCTTCAACCTCTACCTGCCCCACTTCCACTCCATGGACATCTGCTTAGAACTCCTCCCTCATTTCTTAACCCCATCATGAAACCTACTCAGTTCCATCTTAGTATCACTTTGCTTCCAGGGACTACAGTTGGGCTAGACAGAGTGAATGCCAGCTCCCAGCAGAGTAACATCACATTGTGAATTCAAGCAGTGAGTGCCAAAGGTGCAAACCTTCATTTTAGCTTAAGTGCCACCCTATTTATACCTAAAAGCAATGTATCCAAATGTTTCAATCATGCACTGAAATCGGAAAAAAAATTATAATGCACCAATAAATGTATTTATTTACGAATTATAGTATACAATTGTACATTATGTACATTATAAAACACACAAAAATAGAAATTTAAAAGGATGAGAGTAAATACAAATAACCATTTTCCCCCACGCACTGATTATCTGCGTACCCCGGGATTGAACACACTCCCACCTGAAACCAGTCCTAAAGCACGCCAATGATCCCTGTATTTGGATTTTTAGCTCCGTTTACAGAAAAAGGTACAAGATCACAGCTTTTTAAAAGTTTTGCAAAATAGCCCCAGTATCTAGTTTAAATGTGTGAACATGTTTGATGCTAACTTAAGACCTATTTGGACTAATCACAACACAGCTAGTGAAATGTTACTTTATGGTTCACTGATAGCAGTTCCATTTTAAGGCAAACTAAATAGGGGATTTCATGGAGTTGAGTAGGAATAGTTGGAGAGAAAGATGCTTTAAAGAAATACTTAAACATAAAGGAGGAGGGTTGCTTATTAAAAAAAATAAAGAGCCAATAGCTAGCTTCTAAAAAAAAAAAAAAAATTCCCCCCCCACAGTGGGAAAGACTTAAAAAAAAAAAAAAAAAAGAAAAAAGCATTCCAAACAATGGCGTTTAGCTAATGCAGATGGATTAGAATGGCTTGCCACACTTCTGCCTGTCCTAATACCATTGAGTCCTTAAGAACATGGATTCTCTTATGTTTATAGCCCCAGTATCCAATCACAGACCCAGGCACAGAGAAACTCAGTGAATATTTGACGAATGTTGAGCAACTGGTCAAAAAATAGAGTAGAGTGCTGAATCACATTTTGAAATAATTGTTGCTAAAGAACACTCCAGCATCTGGTTTTGATTTGTTGAAGCAAATAACTAGATAAACGTCATGGTCAGTGATGCACTCAGAGAGCTTTATTACATTCCTCAACATCGTTCCGCCCCCCCTCCCCGTCCCCATCAGTCCTCCGGCAACCCCCTATCCCGGATGCTTGCAATGAGGTCTGAGCTTCCTGCCAGGCAGTGGAGGGCCGTGGGCAGTCTCCTCCTTCTCCACCCCTCAGTGCAAGCTGGGAGAACTACAAGAGTATTGTCTTCTACAGAGAACCTTGCTCGAAGTGTTTAGTTTTTAAAAATATTCATGAAAACCTAACAACTTTTAGATAGGACACGAACATCTGACTTTTGATACTGAGATACACACATAACCAACAACTGCTAGAACTTCCACCTTGGCCTCCTCATGGAAGAGTTATCTTTTAATAGGTTCTTCTCCAATTTAAAGAGATTAGAATATTATACAATTTAAGTAACTTGATTTCATTAATAACCAGTTTCACTTTGTGTACACACTGAATGTTTTCACCTACATGTTCATTTATTCTGTTGACAAAAATGTCGGTTTCTTGATGAAAACAAAACTAAAACTACACTGAATTTCCATTAGATTAAATGCAAACCAGGGTTGGTTATCAAATCTTGATCAAAAGAAGGGATATGGAGTTCAGAGATTTGCTGGAGAGATGGGAGCCATAAACTGAAGGCTCAGTTCTTTCACTATTGCAGTGTGGAAAGAGTTTTTTTAACCTAAAGTACTAATTAGAGGCTAATGTACTTACGTGGTTGGGAAGTACGTATGTACCACCCAAAGGGAAAGGAAAACAGACTGGTGGGATCTTCTAAGGTCAAGGTGATGCTGGTTTTTTCTAAGTACTGTGCTGAGTGACTAGGTTGTGAAATCACCCTCTGGAGTCTTGAACACAGAAAGCCAGCTGCTTGGAAGAATAAAACCTCAGACAAAATAGCCACTAGAATGGAAATACTTTTCTTGAGTATTATCTTTCAGGAAAACCAGAACATGTGCACATTACACATTGTTCGCTCACAATTCCCAGCATCCCCTTTTGCTTGTTGCTACAGGCTGGCCTCCCGTCTCTCGCGCTTCAGTGACCAGCCCGTCTCGCCTGACACTGCAGCTCCCCAGAAACACCGGACTCAACAAGTGAACCCACCCCCTACCTGTAAAATGAAACAAACACTCAGTGGCACTACTGCCCCAAAACGAAGGGTCTTGCTAACACCTTTAAAAAAAAAAAAAAAAAAAAAAAAAAAAGTGATGGAATTTCCAGTGAAGAAACTGCTTTGAGAATGCTATAGAAATTGTATCCTAAAACCATTCATGTTTTTGGTAGTTTTCAAATTTTATTTCCAACTACTGCGGTAACAAAATACCAGTGATAATTCTGCATGGAATGTGGCAACCTTTTAAATCAATAAGGTCACAAATTAGTATTCCAACAGCACTTTGGCCTATGGAGATTTTGATAGGGGAGGATTATTACAATCAGTCCTGTAATATTACAGACCTATGCTTCTTCAGTATCTAGTGATAAAAATATTCATCTTACCTCAATGTAATCATGTATACATTTCTACTCTTTATAAGCACTTATCCTTCTGGGCTGCAATGGGTAAGGGGGAAATTCCTCCCACACGCGGGTTTCTCTATACCATACAGAAATAGCGATCACTTCTGCAGTAATGTACATTATTAAGTTTTTAGTTGAAAATAAAAGAGTAAATTATCCTATTATATCCTTTCCCTGGAAGTAAAAAGACACACACCATTACAAACGTAAAATGAGTCAAACTTCTATTTTATTGACAGGAGTCCAAAATGAATACAAAAAGATGCGTCCTTTGTATGTTATGTTTTTTTTTTCCTTAAAAGTCTTCTGAGTCAGGTAGATTAAAAGCTAAGAATGTATTTCAGCTTTTATAGTGAACCTTTTAAAAAAGGTTTAATAAATGAGTCAGAGAACATCAGAGAACATATGGTCCCACAATCGTTTTTAGACCTATAGCTTATAAAAAGAATTAGATCCTGCACTGATCTGCTAAAATAGAGGCTTAAAAATGTTTTAAGCCATTAAAAGCAATGTTTATAATCTGTCTGATAACTCTGGGCAATTAAGAAAAGGAAAATCCCCAATGTAGCCCTCTATATTATATGGAATGTGACAGAATGCCAACTTATGACCAAGACAGGTAAAAATAAAAAGTTTAAAGCTATGAATGGAGCTGTTATAAATAGTCTTGTATCACTGCAAAATGTCAATAAATGAATGACAGAGCTTATCAAAAGATTAAAACTTGAGCAGATGTTACTTAAAATATTTGTGTGGTGTTTATCACACTTTAATGTTTGCTGAAAACTAAAGCTAAACAAAGAAAAACTGCTCACTTACAGACTGGTTTTCATGTACCTTTACTTTTACTGGGACCATAAATTGATCAGGTAATACACAGCCCACACTCTGGACAGTTATAACAAAGGGTTTATTATCGTTTGCCGATGAAATAAATGCACCATCCCATACCTGAAAGGCTTTAACAAGCCTGAAGCGTTTTTCAAGGCTTCCCCATGGCCTAGTTATATTATGCACCCATTTCTAGTAAAGAACTAACACCTCCCTCAGCATCAGTTCTGCACTGTTTCTGGTTTATTATACACTTCCGAAACAGCAAAGAGTTGCAAATACGTGGTCCATTCAGAGCACGGCTTAGTCATCATCTTCCTCCTCCTCTTCCTCCTCCTCAAAGCTATCTTCAAAGCCCTCGCTGTCCTCCTGGTCTTCATCCCCCTCTATTGCTGTATCCCACTGCGGATGATTTTCTGGTACAGGTTTAGCCTCATGAACTTCCAACTACAAAGAAGATTTAAATGCAGACATCAGAAATTTGGGGAAATATCTGATAAAGAAAAGGTTTTCTTTGACCACAGCAATTATAAAGAAATAGACCATAAATGGTTGTTAGCTCCAAATTTAACATATTTAAAATAGATATTTGTCCCAGAAATAAAAAGGTAATCCACTAACATGTGAATATAGTCAAATTTCTAATACGGTTTGACATTTTAATTCTATAGAAGCTATACTATGAATTCTGTACAATGAAAGATTAATTGTGATTCTTGAGCAAGAACACTGAGTTATGTCTTAGTGTGTCTGGTGTCTTAATAAGTCTGCTGAAAGAAGAAAAACTCTCAAGTATGACTTTCAAAAAGGTATTTTGTAGCCTCCATACTCATAAAGTACAATTCTATAAGCAATGGAAAGAAATACGGCACCCTTGCGGGAAAACACAGGCCTGCCTCTCCCAGCTCCCTTTACTCTGGGACTCCAGTGCACCACACAGTAATACTCCAACACAGCGTTTACACAACAGAAGGCCTTTTATGGTTTCAAGTGAAACTGGTAAACACTGACAGGAACGTACTTCAGATAATACTTAAAGTATGTAAGATGATTAAAAACAAACTAATCTCAGAAACTAATAAACACTCCAACAGAATCTGTGGGAAAATATGTGTACTTTTCTAAAAAACAAACATAAAAAAAAACCACCAAAAACAAAAACCCAGAACCCAGTTGATGAGGCCCTGTAAAGTCAGAGCATACTAGAGGATATTAGGAGTATCAATTAAGTAATCTATATTTAATATTCTAAATCAGTCTAATAAATTTATACTCAAGGTTCTAAAGCATCATGCTCCTTTAACTCAACAAGTTTAGTTTATTTAAAGAGTAGACCACTGAGTGTATCATATACAAAGTATGAGAGGACATCTTTTTCCATTATTCTACATTTCAGATCCAGAAATGCTTTCCTAGTATATTAAGCATGCATTAAACAGGCAACCATATTTATTGAAGAGTCATTATTCTTACCTTCAAGGGTTTAATCTGATCCAAACCCATATAGGAGTCTGATCTCAGAAACACTGTATACTGATAATTTCCAGGCTTGCCTGGTGCAGGAAACTTCAGTTCTACCTAGAATAAAAAAAAACAGCACTTAAAATCCTTATTTTGAGAAATGGAAGAAAGAACATCATCTAGGTCTTTTATTATATTCTTTAATAATAAACTAGTAAATGTGTTTCCCTGAGTTCTATGAGCCATTCTAGCAAATTATCAGACTCAAGGAGGGGGTCATGGAAACCCCAATTCATAGCCAGTTGGGTAGAAGTACAGACAACTTGAGACTTGCAACTGGCATTCTGAAGCACGTGGTGAGGGGTTGGGGGGTGGAGTCTTAAGGAACTGAGCCTTTACCCTGTGGGATCTGATGCTAACTCCAGATATATAGTGCCAGCATTGAGCTAAGATGCAGGACACTCAGCTGGTGTAAGAGACAACTGCTTGGTGTGGGGAAAAACCCACACACCTGGTGTCAAAAGTGTTGTGTGACAGTAGTGTGAGTAAATGAGAAACACACAGAAATGAGTTTTTCCTTTACAAATGCCCAGTGCTGGAAATAACCACATGATTTCACTCATATGTGGAATCTAAAAACAAAACAAATGAATAAACAAACAAAAAACAGAATCTGATCTATAAATACAGAGAAGAAACTGATGGTTGACAGAGGGAATGTTGGGGGGATGAGGGGATGAGCAAAATGGGTGAAGGGGAATGGGAAATACAGGCTTCCAGTTATGGAATTAATAAGTCATGTAACCAAAAGGTACAGCATAGAAAACAGAGTCAATAATATTGTAATAGCACTGTATGGTGACAGACAATAGCTATAGCTATACTCATTGTGAACATAGTATAACAAATAGAGAAGCTGAATCACTGTTATATACCTGAAATTAATGTAACATTGTATGTCAACTATACTCAAATGAAAGAAATTTTTTAAAATGTGCCTAGTGCCTTAAAATGTCAAGAAGATACTTATTTCCTTTTAAATCATAAGCTTCATACACAAAGAGTTACAAACTCTTAAAAATTTCAATTCCAGGGAAAGAAGATGGCAGGGAAGTAGAATCCTAGGTTCACAACAACCCATGAACACAACTAGATACCATCTAATCATTCTAAATACCGTGGCAATCAAAGAACTAAGGGCTGTGAGAGAAGAGGCCATGTCGAAGATTAGGTAGGGAGTGTAGAGACACAGTTTGGAATAGAAATGGATCATGGCCACTGTAGCAGGGAGGGAGCAGCAGTTGGAGAGAAGGGCATGAGACAACCTAGCACACAGGGGGAGTGCACGGGGAAAAGGAATTCCCATAGCAATGGGCTTAGAGAGCAAGACAGCAAATTTTGTGAATTCTTGCAACCAGCAGGGCTTAAAGCCTGGAGCTTTATTTATTATTATATAAAAAACTAAAGATTTTTATTTATTTATTTGATAGAGAGAGAGAGTACAAGCAGGGGGAGCAACAGGGAGAGGGGAAGCAGGCTCCTGCTGAGCAGAAAGCAGGATGTGGGGTTCAATCCCAGGACTCTGGGATCATGACCTGAGCTGAAGGCAGACAATTAACCAACTGAGCCATCCAGGCGCCCCAAGGCTGGAGTTTTAAAGGTCAGCGTGCTTGGCTCTGGGAGAGCTCAGAGGGCACTGGGGCTGCTCTCAGAGAAAAGGCAGGGCAAACAGTCCATGGACATATAGCATGGAAACAGCGACCTGAAAAAGTGCATGGGGCACACAGTGGGGAGGGCATTCACTCATCTCAGAGGGCACCACAGAGAGACCCCACCCTGGGGCCATTACCCCCACCCTCACCCCTCAGCACAAGAGAGGGCCACCTGCAGGAAGCAGCGATGGGCCGATACTCACTACCTAACTTGCTTACACCAAGCCCCCAAACACCTGTACTCCAGTGGAACCACCCCTCCCAGTCACACTTGCCTCAGTCCCAGCACAGTGGGCCCCAAGTTTGGCAGGGCCTCAGTTCCTACAGTGGTGGCAACAGGACTTTCACAAGCAGACCAGAACAGACCTAGTTAAAACTTGCCACATTCAGGCCAGGGACCAAACATTGCCCACCAAGAGGAAAAGGGACCCTCTGCAGACAACTGGCCTGAAAAATAAAGCAGCCAGAACACAAAAGCAAAGCCCACACAGCACACATTGGGAGACGCCAGGCCCTAGGGAACAAGGGACACTACACTGTAGAGCACTACAGGACTTCCTCTAAGTAAAGCCATTACTCTCAAGAACAGGAGACATAGCTGACTTTCCTACACAGAGAAACAGGCACAGAGACACAGACAAAATGAGAAGACAGAGGAATCTCTCCTAAAAGAAAGAAAAGGACGAGGCCATGGCAGATGATCTAAGCAAAACAGATGTAAGGAACACGCCTGGTAGAGAACCTAAAGCAATGATCATAAGGATACTCACTGGGCTTGAGTGAAGAGTGGAAGACTTCAGTGAGACCATTAACACAGAGATAAGGAATAACAGAGCAGAGATAAGGAGCTCAATAAAAAAATTAGACACACTTGATGGAATGAATGGCAGGGTGGGAGCAGCAGAGGAACAAATTAATGACCCAGAAGACTAAAGAAAACAATAAACAGATCAATGAAATGAAGAGTTGGTCCTTAAAAAACAATCAAACAATAAAACTGATAAACCTCTACCCAGTTATCAAGAAAAAGACCCAAATACATAAAATTGCAAATGAAGAAGGAGAAATTAACAACCACCACCACAGAAATACAATTATAAGAGATTATTATGAAAAACTATGTGCCAACAAATTGGGACAACCTAGAAAAAATGGATGAATTCCTAGAGCCATATAGCCCACCAAAACTAAAACAGGAAGAAATAGGAAAACTTGAACAGAATGACAACCAGAAAAGAAATTGAATCAGTAATCAAAAAACAAGTCCAGGACCAGATTTCTACTAAACATAAAGAAGAGTTACTACCTATTCTCAAACAATTCCAAAAAATAGAAAAGGACGGGAAACTTCCAAATTCATTCTAGGACAGCATTACCCTCATACCAAAACCAAATGAAAATAACACAAAAAAAGAGAACTACAGGCCAATACTTCTAATGAAAACAAGCAAAAATCCTCAATAAAATACTAGCAAAATGAATCCAACAATACACTAAAAAATCATTCACCATGAAGAAGTGGGATTTTTTCCTTGGGTTGCAAGGTTGGTTCAATATTCTCAAGCCAATGGGATACATCACATTAATAAGAGAAAGGATAAAAGCTATATGATCATTCCAATAGACACAGAAATAGCATCTGACAAAGTAAAACATCCATTCATGATAAAAACCCTCAACAAGGGGCACCAGAGTGGCTCAGTCAGTTAAATGTCTGACTCTTGATCTCAGTTCAGGGTCATGAGTTCAAGCCCTGCATTGGGCTCTGTGCTGGGTGGGGAGCCTACTTAAAAACAAAACAACACAAAACCAAAAAAACCCTCAATAAAATAGGTGTAGAGGGAACATACCTCAACATAATAAAGGTCAGCCATATATGCAAAACCCCAATGCTAGCACCATCATCAATGGAGTAAAACTGAGAGCCTTGCTCCTAACGTGAAGAAGACAAGAATGTCTACTCTCATCACTTTTATTCAACATAGTACCGGAAGTCCTAGCTACAACAATCAGACAACAGAAAGAAATAAAAGGCATCCAAATTGGTAAGAAAGAAATCTTTCAGTATGTGCCGATGACATCATACTATACATAGAAAACCCAAAAGACTCCATCAAAAAACTGCTAGAACTAATAAAGTTGTAGGCTACAAAATCAACGTACAGAAATCTGCTGCATTTCTATACACCAAAAATGAAGCAGCAGAAAGAGAAATTAAGGAATCAATCCCATTTACAACTGTATCAAAAGCAGTAAAATACCCAGTAATAAATCTAACCAAGGATGTTTATTCCTATACTCTGAAAACTATAAAACACTGAGGAAAGAAACTGAAGACACAAAGAAATGGAAAGACATTCTAGGCTCCTGGATTGGAAGAACAAATATTGTTACAATGTCTATACTACCCAAAGCAATCTACACATTCAATGCAATCCCTACCAAAATACTAACAGCATTTTTCCAGAACCAGAACAAATATCCTAAAATTTATATGGAACCACAAAGACCCTGCCAAAGTAATACTGAAAAAGAAAAGCAAAGCTGGGGGCATCACAATTCCAGAGTTCAAGTTATATTACAAAGCTGAAGTGATCAAAACAGTATGGTACTGGCACAAAAACAGACACAAAGATCAATGGAACAGAACGGAAAATCTCTAAATTAAACCCACAATTATATGGTCAATTCATCTTCAACAAAGCAGGAAAGAGTATTTGGTGGGAAAAAGACAGTCCCTTCAACAAATGGTTTTGGACAGCAACGTGCCCAAAGAACCTGGACCACTTTCTTACCCTACATATAAAAATAAATTCAAATGGATTAAAGACCTAAATGTGACACTTGAAACCACAAGAATCCTGGAAGAGAAGACAGGCAGTATCTTCTTTGACATTGGCCATAGCAACTCTTTTCTAGATAGGTCTCCAGAGGCAAGGAAAACAAAAGCAAAAATAAACTATTGGGACATCATCACAATAAAAAAGCTTCTGCATAGTAAACAATCAACAAAAACCTACGGAATGGGAGAAAATATTTGCAAATGGTTTATCTGATAAAGGGTTAGTAACCAGTGGGGCACCTGGATGGTTCAGCTGATTAAGTGTCCAACTCTTGATTTGGACTCAGGTCACGATCTCAGGCTCATGGGACTGAGCTCGGTGTCAGGCTCCTCACTCAGTCAGCAGTCTGCTTCTCTCCCTGCTCCCTCTTCTCTCAAATAAGTAAATCTTAAAAAAAGGGGGGGGGAGGACTAGTATCCAAATATATAAAGAATTTCTAAAACTCAATATGCAAAAAACAAGTATTCCAATTAAAATGGACAAAAGAGAAGGTTCCATGCACACTTGAGAGGAATGAGTATTCTGTGTTTTAGGGTGGAATGTTCTGTATATATCTATGAGGTCCATCTGGTCCAATGTGTCATTCAATGCTCTTGTTTATTGATTTTCTGCTTGGATGATCTATTACTGAGAGAGGCGTGTTAAGATCTCCTACTATTAATGTATTCATATCAATATGATCAATATGACTCTTTATCTTGATTAATAGTTTTCTTATGTAATTGGCTGCTCCCATATTGGGGGCATAGATATTTACAACTGTTAGATCTTCTTGGTGGACAGTCCCTTTAAGAATTATGTAGTGTCCTTCTGTATCTCTGACTACAGTCTTTAGTTTAAAATCTAATTTATCTGATATGAGAATTGCTACCCCAGCCTTCTTTTGAGGCCCACTGGCATGAAAGATGCTTCTCCATCCCTTCACTTTCAGTCTGGGTGTATCCTTAAGTTCAAAATGGGTCTCTTGTAGACAACATATGGATGGGTCCTGTCGTTTTATCCAATCTGCAACCCTGTGTCGTTTTATGGGCGCATTTAGGCCATTCACATTGAGAGTGATTATTGATAGATATGTTTTTATTGACATCGTGTTACCTTTGAAGTCTTTCTTTCTGTAGACTGTCTCCATATTTCTGTTCAATGATATTCTTAGGATTTTTCCTCTTTTATAGAACCCCCCCCCTTAGTATTTCCTGCAGTGTCGGCTTGGTGGTCACATACTCTTTTCAGCCTTGCCGGTCTTGGAAACTCTTTATCTCTCCATCCATTTTGAATGTCAGTCTTGCTGGATAAAGTATTCTTGGCTGCATGTTCTTCTCATTTAGTGCCCTGAATACATCTTGCCAGCCCTTTCTGGCTTGCCAGGCTTCTGTGGACAGGTCTGACGTTATTCTGATGGGCTTTCCTCTGTATGTAAGGAGCTTCTTTGTCCTCGCTGCCTTCAAGAGAGCCTGTCTACAATTATGATTCCTCATTTTTACTATCAGGTGTCTCGAGGACTTTCAAGATTCTATAATCTTGGGGGGAGACCGTTCTGCCTCTAGTACATGAACGCTGGTTCCATTCGCGAGATTGGGAAAATTTTCATGGAGAATTTGTTCCACTATATCTTCTAGACTTCTTTCTTTCTCCTCCCCTTCAGGGATTCCAATAATTCTGACGTTGGAACATTTCATGGCGTCATTTATTTCCCTTATTCTGTTTTCGTGGCTTCTAAGCTGTTTGTTCCAGGCTTCCTCCTGATCCTTTTTCTCTGTTTGTCCTCCAGATCACTAATTCCATCTTCTGTCTCAGTTACCCTAGCTTTTAGAGAATTTAGATTAGACTGGAACTCATTGAGAACATTGTGAACATCATCCCTGGTGGCTTTCAGTTCTGCCCTAATCAATTCCATTTTGTCATCCATGGCTTTCTCCAACCTAGCTATTGCCTGGGTAATTGTTAGCCTGAATTCCCTTCCTGACATATTGTCTATGTCGATAGCCATTAGCTCTGTTGCAGAAGGCCCAGCCTCTGAATTTTTCTTCTGTTGGGCATTCCTCCTCCTAGTCATTTTGGTGAGAGATGGCTCAACGGATGTAGCTGGATGTATCGACTGTGGTGCAGTCATGAACATTGCTTCAAAAAAGCCATACAGGTGGCCAACAGATATATGAACAGATGCTCAACATGACTTATCAGGGACACACTGGTCAAAACTACAATGAGATATCACCTCACACCTGTGAGAATGGCTAAAATCAAAAATATACGAAACAACTGGTATTGCCAAGGATATGAAGAAAACAGAACCCTCTTGCATTGTTGGTGGGCTACAAACAGGTGCAGCCACTGTGAAAAACATCACTGAGGTTCTTCGAAAGGTTAAAAACAGAAGCACCCTACAATCTAGCAATCATATAACTGGGTATTTACCCAAAAAGTAAAAAACACTAATTCAGGGGCACCTGGGTGGCTAGTCAGTTGAGCATCTGACTTGGTTTCGGCTCAGGTCATGGTCTCAGGTTCATGGAACAAGCCCCATGTTGGGCTCTGTGCTCAGCAGAGAGTCTGCCTGGGATTCTCTCTCCCTCTCCCTATGCCCCTCCCCTTGCGCTCTCTCTCTCTCTCTCTGTAAAATAAATCTTTAAAAAAAAAACAAAAAACAAAAAAACCCACTAACTCAAGGAGATACATGCACCCCTGTATTTACAGCAGCATTTACAATAGCCAAATTATGGAAGCAGACCAAATATCCATCAACTGATGAATGGATAAAGATGGGGTATACACATACATACAATGCACTATTACTCAGCCACAAAAAAAGAATGAAATCTTGCCATTTGCAATGACATAGATAGAGCTAGAGCGTATAATGCTAAGTGAAATAAGTCAGAGAGAGAGATAACACCATAAGACTTCACTCATATGTGAAATTTAAGGAGCAAAATAAATGAGCAAAGGGAGTAAAAAAGAGAGAAAGACAAACCAGGAAAACAGACTCTCCACTACAGAGAACCAATGGTTATCAGAGAAGAGGCGGGCAGGGAATGGGTGAAAAGGTGATGGGGATTAAGAAGTGCACTTGTGATGAGCACCAGGTGATTAAAATAAAAACTTAAGGAAAAAATTTTGTTTCCACTCATACAAAGGAAGAATAAGTTATTAAGATGGCATTTGGATGTTCTGGTGATCTGTCTCCAATCTCCAAAATCCAGATTTTGTAGGCAAGGTTATATATTAAAACAACCAACTAGGAAAAATGAACTAAAAAATTCATGGGAATATTTTTTAACATTAATCTCACAATTTGACTTTCTAAATATACCATAAAACCCAGAAATCGTAAAAGAAAAAATTACTCAATCACACTACCAAAAAAACCCAAATAAATAATGTTTGTACTTTTGTTTGGTAAAAACAACTGCAAAAGGGATGTAACATTTAAAACAATTCCCCAAACCAATTAAAAGACCAATAACTCAACAAAAATGAACAATTGTCAAAAACAGACATAAAAATAAGTACAACTCAAATACACTGGAAGACGTTCAGTTTCACTCCTGAGATACAAAATTTATACTTACACTGAGTATAAGTAGCATAGTAAAAAGTGATTAAGGCAAGAATCATCAATGTATATTAAAATGAGCAGATAAAAGACTAGTAGAGAATTTTAACATAGTGCCCAAATATTACCTGAAAGATTAGAGGGAAAAAATACCTTTTATAGTAGAGAAAAGCCTTAATTAAATGTCTAATCATTGTATCACCAGTGTGGGGCAAAATGATATAATGTGCCCCATAAGAAGGTTATATTGCTTATGTAGTATTTTTACCAAAAATATTTAAGATGAATATAATCATGAGTAACCAATGAGATAAATTAAATTGATGGATATTCTGCAAAATATTTTGCCTGGATTCTTCAAAAATTTTGATGGCATGAAAAATTTAAAAACAAAACACCAAGAGTTCTAGAATAAAGAAGACTGACAACCAAATGCAATGCATGATCCTTGATCCATCCGATCCCTGATCCATCCGATCCTTGATCGGATCCTGAATTTTGTAAACAAAAAAAAAACTGTAACAGATACTAGTGAAATAATTAAGGAAATCTGAATATGGACTGCACACTAGATAAATACCATATCAATGTTAAATTTCCTGAATATAGTAATTTTATTGGGCTTATGTAGGAGATGACCTTTGTTTTTAGGAGATACATGTTTAAGTATTTAGGGTTACAATGTCATGATGTCTACAGGCACACATGCAGAGGAAGATATTAAACCATCTTAAATATAAGGCAAAATGTTAACTGATGAATAGAGATGAAGGATATGGGAGTTCATAATAGTATGCTTGCAACACTTCTATAGGTTTGAAACTTTTTAAAATAAAAGATCAGAGAGAAAAAGGTAAGGTGTATGCTATTTTGTATGCAATACTGGAGAAAATACATATGTGTATTTCCTTGTAATTTATATACAGTATTACATGAGGAATACACAAAAATTTTGTTTAACATCATTGGCCTCCAGGAAGGAAAATGGGTGACTGAGAGGGATGTTTCAATGGATGCACTTTTGTGTATCTTATGAAGTATTAACTAGGTGAATTTATTATCTGCTCAAAAATAGGTAAAACTTAAATTTAAAAAATAGTAATAAAACTGCTCTATCCAAGAAATATCCTTTAAGTTAATACTAACTCTAAGTGTCAAATAAACAACAACAAACTACTTCATACATTCACTACTTGGTTATAAAAGGGGAAAAATACTTTTGGATTAAAAATCAGTATCACAGAACTATCTTGAAATTCTAAAAAACCTTGCTCTTTCTAGAGAAGTAGCATGAAACAATGAAGAAAAACAAGATAAACAAAACATGCTCATCACGAAACAGTAGTGATGACATTACCAATGAATAACACCACATAATCAAAAATTCCACTCTAAAAATCTAATTACCAGTTCTTAAATTTGTTTTTAAGACCAAAGATATTTATCTTAGCACTAATCCAATGAGGATAAAAATCATAAATTTTTGTAAAATACAACTAAGTGCTGGACAGGAGAACAAAAGGCGTATGTTCTCAGACACTAACAGTAAAAACTCCCAAGAATAAGTTGAAAACAAGTTTTGAACACTGATCAAGTTGCCTACCTCTAACAACACTGTATAAATTTCTAATCGGCTACTCCCAAAAGACACTAAAGAACAGTTATAAAATGTGCCTTAACAAATAAAATACAATAAGCCATATACGATAAGCTGACTTCTAAGAAAGACTTTATGAAGAAGCATGATGGTGAGATGCCATATGTTTGTAAAAACTGAAATAATGTTGTTGGATAATTACCTCTTCTGTATCTTTTAGTGTACACACATGATATGGCATAGATATTAACGTCTGTTCCTTCCTATCTGCAATATAAAGCCACCACCATTCTTGTTTTTCCTGCAAAGAAAAAAAAAGTTTATATTATCAGAAAGAACTAGAGAAATAACTGTTCTACCTCGTGTCCTCTTAAACGTATTGTTCTGGTTTTATCACTGCAGTATTTCCAGCATAGATACAGTGCCTGGTACAAAAGAAATATTTAATATTTACTGAATGAATAAATCATTCTTACCCATTTGTAGATCTGCTGTCCAAAAGAATTCTGCATGTAATTTGGGGGTTTCAAATGGCCCCTTAAAAAGTCCTAATGATGGCCCTCTGTATTAAAAACCCCTGTATTAGCCTTAAATGACAAAAGACAGCCTAAAAAATAAAACATTATAAACCACACTACAATATCATCTAGCAAATAATCTTGGTAATCTTACCTAGTAAGAAGCAAAAGCCAGAAAGTAGGAGTGGAAGGGACTTGGGCAACCAAATCAGAAATCATTAAAATATATCACTCATAATAGAGCATCTCAGATTTAAAAGTCTATCTATACTCTTCACTGCACATGATTTTATTAAGTGCAGCATTTTTAGTAGAACCTCATAAAAGATTAGGAATAGAAAAAGAGGTCAGTAAAGAAACTGCCACAGAAGTCCATACAGTCTGGAAGCACCAAGCTTCAATGTACTCAGTGAGTACTGCTACGCGGGACACATCGATAACTGCTTAGTCATCTCTTGGTATCCGCTGCTTAAGAATTGGTCAGGGAAGACAGCTTTCTAAAATGGCTTAAAGAAAATGTTTTGGAACTAAAGAATAAACAAACTCTATTCTATTGTAAATACTCAACCAAAACAACACTAGACAGTTCTAAATTTTCAACTATCCAAAAGAAAGTTAAAAAAAAAAAAAAACTTTTTACTGAAAACAGTATCATAGGGAAAATGTCTTTTTAAGCCAAAATCACTCGCACTTCCTATTTTATTTTATCCACAAGACATTAAAATTTGATTATCTTTCTAAGAATGCTACACTAAGGTCAACTAAAAACTGTAAACTTCAAAGCACTACAACAACATTAATAAGCAGAATAAGTAAGTCAGAAGTACATGTTTAATCTAACTTCTGCTTAACCCGAGGGGGACTACCACAATAGATATATGTGTATATATGTGTGTTTGTCTCCATGTGTTGCACACACAAAGTGGGTAAAAACATAATGGACTCAAAGCAGGCCAGAGTCTGAGTCACAAGTACTCAACTCGGCCACAGTAACACGAACACAATGAGTGTGACTGTGCTCCAATAAAACGTCATTCGTAAAACAGGCAGGGAGGCTGACTTGTCTGCAGGCTGTTGTTTAGCCAATGCCTGTTTCAAAGCCACACAGACCTGGACTATTTCACTTCGCTAAATGTCACTTTTCTTCTCTGTTAAATGATGAGTGCCTAACTCGGGACATGTTGTGAGGATGAGCTGAGATAATACCAGCAATGTTAGAATGTCTAGAATACTGATCATGACAAATAATAATCATGGGGGCGCCTGGGCAGCTCAGTCCTTAAGCATCTGCCTTTGGCTCGGGTCATGATCCCACGGTCCTGGGAACGAGCACTGCATCATCCTGTCGTGGGCTCCCTGCTCAGCCAGGAGCCTGGTTCTCTACCCCTCCCGCGGCTTGTGCACACAAGCCCGCTCTGTCAATTAAATAAAAAAATCTTCTAAAAAAATGATAATCATGATTAGTAATGAAATGAGGTAGACACCTGAATCATTTTAGTTCTGACATTTCATTGTCTGAAATCTCATTACCAGAACGTATATGTAATATAAGAAGCACTCAAGAATGTGCAATTCTTCTTTACCTCTTCACTAAGAGAATGTCTTTCCCTCTGATCTCCCAGGTTACTTGATTAAAATGAGATTCATTCAAGAATAGTTATTAAGAAGCTAGTGAATATCAATCCATGGCATTGTACTTATGCACAGACTCTCTGATGCACATAGTAAAAGTGGAAAATACGTTGTCACATGAGTTATTTGCATCTTCAATGTAATAGTTTTTCTGCTGGGTGAGATTCCTCACCATTGAATGAGTTTCAGTAACATGTAAGTCAATTATAATCATAAAACTTAAAGCAGTTTAAGTGGGTAGGGAGGCTGTTAGGGCAGTCTGGAAGGTACATGGAAGGTAGACAGGTAGATGTTAGGAAAATCCTAAATAAATTTTATCTGATAAATGGTACTTTGAGATGTGTACAGTGCAGTTGTAGCTTAAATTAGAAAAAGGCATTTTCAAGGCTAAATGTTCTAAGGCAGTGAATGAACGTTTTGCTTATTAACTAAGCACAGTCTAAAATGAACGGTCTGTTATAAGGGTACAAATTATGCAGCTTATAACATCCCATGGCACTTTTAAAGCCAATCAATGAGTGGAATTCACTTGCTTGACTTCAGGAGCCTTGGGGTTGGCAGGCTACTACTGCAATGGGCAAAATGCCTTCAACAGATGGGCTAAAGCTCAGGACATGCCAGAAGATCAGCAAGCGCGTTAACATGGAATCCTGGGCTGACTTCTTTCCAAGTCAAAACAACAGTCTGTGCAGAGCCATTCATTTATTATTAGGGAAGCCAAATTACTTGGGAATTTTGCCTTCGGCAGCCCCCAGCAACTCTGGATTGACATTCTAAAGCAGAAAGCAGATTTATACATGAAATCACCTGCCAAACATGAGTGCTGAGCAGAAGGTTCTATGGCAAAGCTGTGAAGCAGTCTGTGGAACAGCTTCCCTGAACTAAGAGACAACCAGTTCTTGACCTCTGGCCATAGACAGAACTGTGGCAAAAGCAAAACCTCATGCAATTCCCAAATTCACTGGAAAGACAAAAAACTCAACATCCACAGTTGAGCAGGCCAAAAGCACAAACCAAATAAGGACAAGAGAACAAAGATCACTGATCAATCTGTCCTAAGCTTGGGGCTCAGCCACTCTCAACTCTTACAAACTTAGCTGGTCTCACAGCCATTGGCTATTCCCATGGACTGGGGCAATTACGAGGGCCAGAGCAACTGTAATGGCTCCAGGTGGCCAGTATAGGACCATCAGAGAAAACCCATGAGAAAAATATTTAAGAACTTTTTTCTTCCTACCCAAAACTTGACAGGCGTGAGGGATTCACAAAACCCATGTAGTCCTACGATGAGGACAAAATACACACTTGTCGGAAAGACTGCCTGAACTGCTAAAGAGAAATCATCAGCACAACCTCTAGTCATCCAGGCACAGAAAAGACAGAAGCCCAGGAAACCACAGAAGTACTTACAGAGTTAACAATCCCCCCATTAAACGACACGTTCACTAAATCTGATTCGCACTGAAAGGTATCCTTCAAAATGTGGCCTATCAAGAATGGGTCATCTTTAGCACATTTGAGCCAGTATACACCATAGAGGGATAACAAGCAACTGAAAAATACCTGAAGAGAAAGTAAATGGAGTAAGGAAAACATGAATAACTCACCTCAGGAAAGTAAAGACTATAAACAGGATGTGTTATCTTTGATTTGGTCTCCAGGAGAGCTCTCTCCTTTCGCTGTATACTTTGTTGTAATTCTTGCCACTCCTAGTAAAGTAAAAATCAAACACTTGAAATCAAGCATGTTTTCAATTATTCTCACTGAAGAGTTTCCATCCTTCTTCCAGCTATTATTCCTGACAATGCTAACTACCACCGAGTTCAGTCCCACAGACCTGATCATTTCCCTGCTCAAAACTGTTACAACATATTATTTCATAAATCAAATCTAAGCCCTTTAGCATGAACTACACAGTCATGATCTGACCTGGGCCAATCTCTTCAGTCTCCTGTCACTGCCTGTCTCTTTGCACTTTCTATTCTTTTTTTATTATCATCATTATTATTATTTATTTTGCACTTTCTATTCTTGTCACTTCAAACTACCTTGAATTCTCACCAAGCTGTTTCACTCCTCCTAAACCATGTTTGGATTTTTGTTTTCTCTTTCTCTAACCTGGCAAATTTCTACTATTATTTCTTCGGGAGCTGCTAAAACCTAAACCAGGAGCTCCTGAATACCAGAAATTACCCTCAACTGAGTTGATCATTCCCTCCCTTGTGCTATCACTGTACCTTGCACAAACTGTGCATAATCTCTTTTGTACCCTAATGTTTACTTACATGTCTGCCTTCCGCACTAGCCTACTATCATTCAAGGGCAGAAACTGTTTTACATTTGGCTTGCATTCCTCTCTCATCAAACACAGTGCTTGCCGTGTGACAGATAATGAATAACTGTTTGTATAATTATTTGACAACTGAATGAATGTATTTTTGGTATCTAAAGAAACTAGTCTGTCACCTCTCCTAATTCTAATACTATACTCAGAAAGGAGTATGTCAACTCTTTCTCAAAGCATGCCTAGAGAAATAATTCCCTTAATAGGCTTTAATTTCTTGGCAATCAATTTAATTCCCAAAGTACAAAAACAGTCAAGGGCCAGCAACTGCTAAAAAGTCATCCTTGTGGGCGCCTGGGTGGCTCAGTGGGTTAAAGCCTCTGCCTTTGGCTCAGGTCATGATCCCAGGGTCCTGGGATCGAGTCCCGCATCGGGCTCTCTGCTCAGCGGGGAGCCTGCTTCCCTTCCTCTCTCTCTGCCTGCCTCTCTGCCTACCTCTCTGCCTACCTGTGATCTCTGTCAAGTAAATAAATAAAATAAAAAAAAAAAAAAAAAAAAAAAGTCATCCTTGTTTTCCCCCACCACTCCCAATGGCAAACTCCCCACCACATTACAGCATACTTTACTTAACTGTACTTTGCACATCTGCGTGCTTCGCAGATATTGTGATTTTCACAAGGTGAAGGTTTGTGGCAACCCTGTGTTGAGCAAGTCTATTGCTGCCATTTCTCCAACCACACTCATTTGCTCACTTTGAGTCTCTGTGTTACATTTTGGTAATTCTTGCAATATTTTAAGCCTTTTTATTATATTTGCTATGGTAATCTGTGATCACTGATCTTTGATGTACTACAGTAACTGTCTGGGACAACACGAACCATGTTTTCGTAAGATGGCAAACTTAATCAATGTGTGTGTTCTGACTGCAACAACAATGGGTTGTTCCCCATCTCTTCCCCTTCTCCTTGGGCCTCCCTGAGACACAACAATATTGAAATTAGGCCCATTAATAACCCTACAATAGCCTGAGTTTTCAATTGAAAGGAAGAGCTGAGAGTCTCTCACTTTAAATCGAAAGCTAGAAATGATTAAGCTTCGTGAAGAAGGCAAGTTGAAAGCCGAGATAAGCTGAAAGCTAAGCCTCTTGTGCCAAACAGTTAGCCAAGTTGTGAATGCACAGGAAAAATTCTTGAAGGGAATTAAAAGTGCCACTCCAGGGAAGACACGAGAGGTAAGAAAGCGAAACAAACTTGTGCACGTGTGGAGAAAGTTTTAGGGGTCTGGACAGAAGATCAAACTAGCCACAATATTTCTTTAAGCCAAATCTTAATCCAAAGCAAGGATCTGTCCCTTCAACTCTATCAAGACTAAGAGGTGAGGAAGCTGCAGAAGAAAAATTTGCAGCTAGCAAAGGTTGGTTCATGAGGCTTAAGGAAAGAAGGCATCTCCGTAACAGGAAAGGGCAAGGCGAGGCAGCAAGCGCAGGTGTAGAAGCTGCAGCAAGTTCTGCACAGGATCCTGCTCGGAGAATCCAAGGTGGCTACACTACAGGACAGACTTTCAATACTGAAGAACAGCCTTATATGGGAAGAAGAGCCCATCTAGGACTTTCAGAGCTAGAGAGAAGTCAATGCCTGGCTTCAAAAGGCTGACTCTCCTGTTAGGAGCTAATGCAGCTGGTGATGTTCAGTGAAGGCCACAACTCACCGACCTTTCTGAAAATCCTAGGGCCCTTAAGAAATATGCAGAATCTCCTCTGCAAGTGCTCTCTAAATGGAACAACCAAGCCTGAAGGACAGCACATTTGTCTACAGCATGGTTTACTGAGTATTTTAAGCCCACTGTTGAGACCAACTACTAAAAATTGCAAAGTATTACTGCTCATTGACAATGCACCTGGTCATCCGAGAGCTCTGACGGAGACACAGTACGATTGATGCTGTGTTCACGCCTGCTGAGACAACATCCATTCTGCAGCAAATGGACCAAAGAATCACTACCACTTTCAGGTCTTACTAGTTTAGAAATACTTTTTTTAAGGTGATAGCTGCCACACACAGTGAGTGACTCCTCTGGTGGATCTGGGCAAAGTATAATGAAAATCTTCTCATTCGGCCTTTTACATGCCATCAAGAACATTTATGATTCATGGGAAGAGGTCAAAATATCAGTATTCACAGGAGTTTGGAAAAAGCTGATTCCAACCCTCACGGATGACCTGGAGGGGTTCAAGACTCCAGTGGGAGAAGTAACTGCGGATGTGGTAGGAACAGCAAGAGGTCTGCAATTAGAGGTGGTGCCTGCAGGTGGGCCTGCACTGCTGCCATCTCATGGGAAAAGGTTACTCTCATGAGAAGCTGCTTCTGGTGGCTGAGCAAAGACAGTGACTTCCTGAGATGGAATCTACTCCTGGTGCAGACGCTGTCAAGACTGCTGCAATGCCAACAAAAGATTCAGAATATGACAGAAACTTAGCTGATTAAGCAGCATCACGATTTGAGAGGTCTGACTCCAATTCTGGAAGTTCTACTGTGGATAAAATGCTATCCAACAGCATCTCATGCTACAGAGAAATCATTTGTGAAAGGAACAGTCAATGCAGCAAACTTTATTGTCATCTTATTTAAAAAACTACCCCAGTCACCCCAACCTTCAGCAAGCACCACTGAAGAGTTAGCAGCCATCAACACTTAGGCAAGAGTTTCCACCAGCAAAAAGTTTACAACTCGCTGAAAGCTCAGATGATGGTTAGCATTTTTTAACAATAAAGAATGTTTTAATTAAAGCATGTATGTTGTTAAGGCATGTATGTTAGACTACACTACAAAATAGTATAAACATAACTTTTATATCCAATAGGAAACCAAAAAATTCATTTGATTTTCTTTACTGAAATGTTGGTGTCATTGTGGTGGTCTGGAACTAAGCCTCCAAGGCATGCCTGTAATTCCTTATACTTTTATCCTTTGCCCTTTACTTTTTTATCCTCTTTTTTGCCTCTACCTGTGCCTCACAGGCTAGTCAGGGAATCCCCTTTTCTCTCCTAATCCACAAGGGTAACTTTTAGCCCAGTCAGAAAAAACAGAACAACACAAACAAAGGAATGGTTGATCAGTTTACAGACAATTTGCAGTAAGTTTCTAAGGACTCATTATTTGTCCACCAAACCCTCTTTTCTACAGCCCATCCAAAAATCAGGTACAACTTAATGCCACACCATGAGATTTTTTTTTTTTCTATTCTCTCTACCCTCACAATCTTAATAAGTCCCTTAGAGACTCCTCCTTTTCTTAATGTCTTATATACCTCTTGAAATAAGGTGGCATTCTGTAAATGTTAGTCTTCTCCTTAACCAACCTCTTGAGATTAGAATCCACAATAATGTTTCTTTACTTTTAAACACTACCTGGAACTTTTGAAAGACTCTTCTAAGTAATTGCTTAGACCATAACCCACCTTTCCTAATTGATTTACAGACTCAGCTCCAATGGTGAAAATTACTGTAAGACACAAAACTGACTTCACCTCAGATCTGCATCCTATACTAACAGCAATTTAAGATTTAAGAAAATTAAGAGAGCCAATCCTTGTTAGAAACTATTCTTTTTTATAATTCTGGCCACCATCCCACAAACATATTCTTGCAAAATAAGAGAAGATTATAAAATATACTGGTATTGTTTAAGACAAACATACAAACAAGTACACAAATGAAAAACAACAAAAAACGTAACTATCAGAGGTATATAATTCTAATTATTTAAACCTATAAGTCTTACTGCTTCATCATCTTTGTTCTGTTTTTCATCTTGCTCTCTATCAGAGTCTCTGTCACTACCATCATCTTTTTCACTTTGGGATTCTCTATTGGTTTCTTCTTCTTCAGAATCACTGCCTTTGTCAGAAACTTCTTCTTCCTCTTCCTTTACTGCAGCTTCCTGAAAGAAAAAAGCAACCACAGAAGTTCTGAATATCTCAGCGAATTCTGAGTCCCTGAAGCTAACTTAATGTCATTATAATTAAATTAGCTCAAGATTATAATTTCACTATTCATACAGAATTTTAAAGAATTATAAACACACGTATTTACAAATATGTGGTAATCAGACTAAAGACTTTAACATTTGGATTATTTGTCTATTGTTAGTTATTTTATTTACTTTTCATGTTTGTAAATAAAAAATAAAATAAAATAAAAATATTTTAAAACAAAATAAAAATTTGTAAAATAAAAAATATTTGTGTTTGTTTGTAAAGTAAAAAATACTTTATCTTTAAAGCATAAAGTATACTACTACCACAATGGCAACATGGCTCATCTTTCAAAACATCAAATATATAATACATATTTTTTTTAATTAAAGACTTATTTATTCATTTGAGAGAGTGAGCATGTGCATGTGGCACGAGCAAGGGGGAGGGGCAAAGGTAAAGAGAATCTCAAGCAGACTCCCTGTTGAGTGTGGAGCCTGAGGATACAGAGCTCCATCTCATGACCCTGAGATCACGATCTGAGCAGAAACAAGAGTCAGATACTCAACCAACTGAGCCACCCAGGCACCCCACTTATACAATGTATTTTATTTGAAATGAGGATATGGAAAGCTCATAGAAAAGTACTGCTTTGAGAATTTAATATTATCTTCTATAGCTGATACAGCATAATGTAGTAAGGAAAGCCAATATCCCAGACAAAATATTTACTAATCCATTTCAAGAAGAAAAAAGAGCAGCAAATTAAATACAAAAAAACTCAAAGTAAATAAAACAGACCTGAAATCAATTTAAGAGAAGGCAGATACGCAAAGGGAAATCTAAACAAAACCAAAAGTTGGTTCTTTGAAAAGATTAGTAAAACTGAGAGAAGACTTATTAGGCAAGACTGATCAAAGGAAAAAGAGAATATAATAATAGGAATAAAAGAGACATTACTACAGATCCAAAAGAAATTACAAAGAGAGGACATTATCAATTACTCTGTCAATAAACTTGATAACTTAGAAGAAATGGACAAATTCCTTGGGAAGTGTAATTTACTAAAATTGATATAAGGAAAAAAGTAGAATTTGTTAAAGAAATGGACTCTAGGGGTGCCTGGGTGGCTCGGTCGTTAAGTGTCTGCCTTCAGCTCAGGTCATGATCCCAGGGTCCTAGGATCAAGCCCTATACTGGGTTCCCTGCTTGGCGGGAAGCCTGCTTCTCCCTCTCCCTCTGCTACTCCTGCTTGTGTTACCTCTCTCCCTGTGTCTCTCTCTGTCAAGTAGATGAATAAAATCTTAAAAAAAAAAAAAAAGAAGAAAAAGAAAAAGAAAAAGAAGTGTACTCTAAAACTAAAATCCCTTTTTAAAAACTCTAAGCCCAGATGGCTTCTCTAGATAGTTCTTCCAAATATGAAACAAACCCAATCTTACACAGACTCTTCCAGGAAAAAGAGAAAGAAAGAATACTTCCTAACTTGTTTAATGAGGTAAGTATAAACCTGATACAAAACCTGGCAAGGGTATTTACAAGAAAGGAAAACAATATTCTCTCATAAAAATAGATGTAGGAAAAAAATAAAATAGATGTAGGAATCCTAAACAAATATAATGAAATCTAGATAAATATGAAAAAGGATAATACGCTGTATTTGTTCCAGGAATGCAAAGACAGTTTAAAATTTCTAAATGCTTCAACATAATTCACTATATTACAGAAAGAAGAAAAATCACACCATCACCTCAACAAATGGAGAGATGACATTTAATAAAATTCAGTATTGCTCAAGATAATAATTCTCAGCAAACCTGATAAAGAATATCTACAAAAACCCTGTAGCCAACATCACGCTTAGTAGTTTGTTCCCTTTCTCCTGGAGATAAACAAGACAAGGGTGACCACCGTCCTCACGCCTAACCAACATTACACTGAAAGTTTCAGCCAATACAGTAAGAAAGGAAGAAAAAGCAAAAAGATTAAAGAAAAAAGTAAAACTGTCTTTATTCCCAGACGGCATGACTGTGTACACAGAAAATCTAAAAGTACCTACTAATGGTCAGAATCACAGGCACACCCTGGATACATTCCAGGTTCGGTTCCAGACCATTGCGGTAAATAGATTATCGCAATAAAGTAAAAATGACTTTTTTTGTTTCCTACTGCATATAAAAGTTATATTCACATTATACTATAGTATGTGAAGTATGTAAACAGTATTCTGTCTAAAAAAACATAATTAAAAAATACTTTACTGCTAAAAAATGCTAACCATCATACAAGCTTTCAGCGAACTATGATCTCTGATCACAGATCACCATAGCAAATACAATAATACAAAGTTTGAAATTATTGAGGGAATAACCACAATGTGACAGAAACACAAAGTGAGCAAATGTTGCTGGAAAAATGATACTGACAGATTTGCTCAACACAGGGTTGCCATGAACCTTCACAATGTAAAAAATGCAGTATCTGCCAAGTGCAAGAAACTGACGCACAATAAAACACGGTACACCCATATTGTCAGTTCAAGACTCCCTGATACAAGGTCAATATTTAGAAGACAGCTGTAACTTTATGCACTAGCAATAAACACTGAAGAATGGGTTTCTTTTAATGTTTTTTTGCAACAGCACCAGAAAGTATCAAATATAAAAGGGTAAATCTTATGAAAGATGTGTCATACCTCTGCCACTGGGAATTATAAAACACTGCTGAGAAAAAATTAAGGAAGATCCAAGTTAATAAAGATAAAGCATGATTATGAATAAAAAGACTCAATACTGTGGGGCACCTCGGTGGCTCAGTCAATTAAGCATCTGCCTTGGGTTCAGGTCATGACCTGAGGGTTGTAGGATAGAGCCCCATATTGGGCTCCCTGTTCAGCAGGGAGCTTGCTTTCTTCTCCCTCTCCCGCTCCCTCTGCTTGTGCTCACTCGCTCTCTCTCTCTAATAAATAAATAAAATATTAAAATCATTGATAGGCAAAAATGTCAACAGGACTCAAAAGCACTAACCATAAAATCAATGAAAGACTTTCTTAAAATTAAGTACCATCAAAAGTTTCCATTAAGAGGATAAAAAGGGACTCATATCCAGAATATATAAAGGAATCCTATAAATCCTTAAGACAACCCAATAGATAAAGAGGATATTCAAATGGCTGGTTAAGTATATGAAAAGATGCTCAATATCATTAGTTATCAGGTAAATAAAAACCACACACAGAGATACCACTACAGATCCCACTGTAGTGGTTATAATAAAAAAGAATGATAAAACCAAGCACTAGTGAGGATACAGAACAACTGAACTCATGTTTTGCTGGTAGGAATATAGAATAGCACAACTTTGGAAAACAAGCTCTTTCAGTGTGCTACCACACACTTACTTTATGACCCAGCTATTCCACTGCTAGGTACATACCCAAGAAAATGAAATGTCCACAAAACGACATATACATAAAGCACAGCATTTTTATTCAATAACAGGCAATATCTAGAAATAACCCAAATGTCCACCAGCTACAGAACAGATAGAAAAACTAGTGTATTCAGAAGATGGAGTATCACATACACACAAAGAATGGACAGCTGCTACACACAACACACATGAGTGTCATGGACATAATGCTGAATGAAAGCAAGACAAACATATTTCCACTTAAATGAAGTTTAAGGATAAAAAAAAGTAATCTATGGTAATAACAGCCAGAACTGGAAGGTATGGAGGTAGATGGAGGAGTCACTGACTGAGAAGGGACACAGGTGAGCTTTCTAGGGTGCGAAAGTTTTCTGTCTTAATCTGGGTATCACAGGTACATACATATGTAAAATTTGAGGAGCTAAACACATAGGATTTGAACATTTTAGTGTATAACTCAAAGATAATGATGATAACAGTAAAAAACTTACACTCCCAACAACTCCATTTGCCTGTTTTTGTTTCTGTTGCTTCGACTGTGGTAAGGACACAGGTGTAGGTTTTTTTTTTAATGGTTTCTTTTTTTTTGATTTGGCAGTTTTCTTGGGTCCTTTGCTCTTCTGTTGCCATCCTCCTTTTGTCCTGTTCTTATTAGTATCACCCTGCTATAAATCACAACACACATACACACTCAGAAGTTACAGCAATAGTTTCATTTGGGAGTCAGAGTAATTTTTAGATAAAAATGGCTAAACTAAATGCTTTCACAAACTGAATTACTCTCCCACAACAATAAAAATCAATCAGAGAACCTAACAAAACACTTCGAAGCTTCACCAGGAAAGAGAAGTAAGAAAAATCAAGTTTTACCCCATCTTCTGCTGGCTGTTCCTCTGCAGCACAAATAGATTGCTCCTTTTCAAATACTTCCTAGGGAGGAAAAATATGAAGTCTATCAACCTATATTTATCTTTCAGATAAAGTAATCTTTAAAAATAGATTACCAATAAGTTTTTTACCTTGTGACAACTGGTAAGGGGAGGGAGAAGATCAGTTTTTTAGCAATTACTAAATGATGCGTGCAATTCAGCAATTACTAAATGACACTTCAAAAGTTACCTTCAGAAATATCTCACATCGGTCTTGAATACATTTTGAAAAGTACATTCTACTTGAATTTACAAATGCAATGACTTAAGATACATAAACTCACTATAAATTCAAGAATATTTCATTGTTTAAAATAACTATGGAAGTGCGCATGGCTGGCTCAGTTGGTAGAGTGTGAGACTCTTGATCTCAGAGTTTTGAGTTCAAGCCCCTTACTAGAGGTAGAGTTTACTTAAGAAAAACAAAATTTTTTAATTTTTTTTTAATTAATTACATATATAAATAAAATACATAAGGGGTGAAACACTGAAAAAACCGATATAATCGAAAAACATACCCACTATATAATCCACTTAGGATCAGAATAAAAGGCATAAATTTAGGATTTAAATTCCAGTAACATTTCAGTGAGAATCTATACTAGAAGATCATAAGTGATGTTGGTTGTGTTTAATAAACGTCCTGGAATTACTAAAGCTAACAAATAAAAATAATGATAACTTAGGCTTTAAACTGTTAGCCTAATTCAGGGGTCCACAAACTATGGCCCACTGCCCGGTCTTCAAATAAAAGTTTTACTGGAACTCAACCATGCCCATTTGTGAATTCGGTAGTTGCTACAGAAACCAAGTGGCCCATAAAACCTAAAAATTTATTAATTGGACCTCTATAGAAAAAGTGTGCCAATCCCTAGTCTAATTCTACCATCTCTGCTTCATTTCTTCATTTATTAGCTGGGTTCTAATACTTAATTACTCTGAGGTTCGGTTCATACAAGAACTTGAAGATAAATATTTGATTCTTTCCCTTTTCCAAGGCAATTTTTTTTTTTCCCTACCAATTACCCCAGAAGTGTCAACAGCCTAAGACCAATTTTTACTCATTTTCAGACTGGGAATTCCAAAGCATGTAGGTTATATAAATTTGGATTCTATGCCCAATTCTAGCCACTGGCTTTGAGGTTTCCTCTTCTCCCACTTCTCATCCAGCGCCCATAACACAAATGCTTCCTTACCACTTGTTACCATAAAATCAACATCTTTGATTTGATATATCCTACTAAAGTATGCTTTTCCGACCAGAGATCTTAGAGATGGGGTTTAAAGGCAGAGTACGTTAGATATTCACAGGCTCCAGCGTAGAACAGGCTAAAATCTCCCACTAGTTGAATATGCAGAGTTAAAAATAGTACATTTAATTAAAAATGAGTTACAACTATAGTTCTAACTTGGGAGGTAAGAGTTGACTTGGGAGGTAATATAAATATGTAACAGAAACTAAGAAAAACAAGATGTACAGGAAACATATACAATGTGATTGAATTTAATGAAAGGAAATCAGAAAAGTACCAGGGTGTATTTATATATACATAAAGTGTAAAGACCCAGGCAGTAAATATGAGCTCAGAGAAAGAGATGAAAGGATACACACAAGACTCAATTCTGGTCCTCTCAGACTGACAAGGGGTTTCCTGAGGGAGGTGGGTGAGAGAAAGAATCCATAATAGTGAAAGCATCATTTAACCCCACAGGTACTCATGCATTAGGGTATCTTAGGTGATGAGCTTCAAGATCAATCATCTCAGAGTGGCAGGACTTTAGGTGATTTTAATCTCTTCCTATACTTTTCTGCATTACCTGAAGTTTTTTCCCCAGCCAGCATGACTTTTTCAGATAATTAGAAAAAAAATTTTTTCACTATAATTTAAAAAATTAAGAGTAAATTCAGAGTCGACCAAGAAGGAACAGGTAAAGAAATTTCCAACAATAATCAATAATTAATCTTTATACAGTACTTTAAATACTATACTCACATTACCTTATTATTACAATGTTTTATAGGGAATTAACAAATCATCACATAAAGAATTAATCTATTATCAAGGGTTTTTTGTATGTAAAAACTAATGTGAAAAACTATGAATATTAATTTAAAATATCAAAACAAGTAATAGGACTTGCAAAATTAGATTTTACTACTGTAATAGTTTTGACTTTGAGAATATGTGACTTAAAATGAGAAAACACATATTAGAACTTTAACACATAACTTTTTTTCCCTTTTTTTCATTGAAGTATAGTTGACACACAATGTTAAACATTAGTTTCAGGAGTACAACATAGTGATTCAAGAACTCCATATGTTACACTATGTAACCATACAACACTGTTATAATACCCTTGTGCTATACTCTGAATCCCATGACTTACTTTTCAATAATCAGAAGTCTGTACCTCCTTTTCCCTTCACCTCTCAACATGTAACTTTTTTTTTTTAAAGATTTTATTTATTTATTTGACAGAGAGAGATCACAAGCAGACAGAGAGGCAGGCAGAGAGAGAGAGAGGGAAGCAGGCTCCCTGCTGAGCAGAGAGCCCAATGCGGGACTCGATCCCAGGACCCTGAGATCATGACCTGAGCTGAAGGCAGCGGCTTAACCCACTGAGCCACCCAGGCGCCCCAACACATACTTTTTTAAACACATAACTGTTAAAGCATAAAAATAAAAAGAGATTACTTACTGCCATTGTTTGCCTTGTCAATTTAACCAACACTGTAACTAGGGATCCTACTGTGATGTTGTTGCTGTCTTCATCATCCAATACTACAAGACGACAGTAAAAAATCACAGTAAACAATACAATTCCATTTGGTATTTCAGTATTTCAAACATATTTTAAACTTCGTAACAAATATTTTGACTGTCTACGCTATATAAAACACTCCACTAGATGCCTTCAACAATGCACTCATTTAATTTTTAAAATAGCTCTCTGAAGATTATTTCTACTTTAAAGAAAGGGAGGTTCAAAACTAAAGTAAAATGCCTGAGGTCACATCATGGCTATATTGGCACTGCCAAGCTTCAAATACTGGTCTTTTTTTTTTTTTTTAAAGATTTTTATTTATTTATTTGACAGATAAAGATCACAAGTAGGCATAGAGGCAGGCAGAGAAGAGAGAGGAGGAAGCAGGCTCCCTGCCAAGCAGAGAGCCCAATATGGGGATCGATCCCAGGACCCCGGGATCAGGACCTGAGCCGAAGGCAGAGGCTTTAACCCACTGAGCCACCCAGGCACCCCAAACCCTGGTCTTTTAAAACAAAGTATAATGTAAGGACGACTGTACCACAACTTTCTTTCTTAATGATATAAAAATCTGTCACTCTATTAAATTGTGCAAACCTTGTATTCACAAGATTTTACCTATATGATCAATGCCGGTCTGCCTGTCAAAAATAAAACAGTATTCCAAGTCACATTAAATTTATTTCTTAAGGCAAGAACTTAAGAGTTTTGTTTATAGTAAAAACAAAAGCTTAAAAAGCTTTTGCAATTTAATTTTTTTGAAACCACATTTGCTACACATACTGCTAAAAGCTATTGAAATAAACTTAACATTAAAATTAATAAACATTAAAATAAACATTAATGTTAAGATTAATAAATAAAATAAATTATCCTATCTTATTCAAATTCATTTTTCCTCCAAATTTTATCTGTAAGAGTTTTCTTCACTTTGTATTTCTCCCTACAGATTTTTCTAAGTTGGTTATGTTTATTTTACACAGATTTAGATTAGCATACTCTGTTCTGGCCTACATTAACACACCACCAGTTGGAAAAGAACAGCCTCCAAGAAACTGTAACTGCTTTCTCCTCCATTACTGGCTGTGAGGTGCAACAGCTGGGCATCAAGAACAATACAATATCCTGGGGCACCTGGGTGGCTCAGTCTATAAAGCATCCGTCTCTTGATCTCGGCTCAGGCCACAATCTCAGGGTATGGAGATCAAGCCCTGAGTCAGTTCCAAGCTGAGTATGGAGCCTGCTTAAGATTCTCTCTCCCTCTCCCTCTGCCCCTCCCCAACTCCCTCTCTGCCATCTCCCCGCAACCCCCCGGCCCCTGCCTCACACTCTAAAAAAGAAAAAATAATAATAATTATTTAAAAAGAAGGATAAAATATCCTTTCTTCAATCTGGAAGTCTCCATTATCTCATATCAAATCTGGGCTACACATTTGTCAACACTGCACAACTCAGAGTTGCATGAGCACTACATGCGAATTAACAGCTCTAACAATATCTACCTGCCATTTGAGGCTTTCAAGTGGAGAAAAAGCCTACAGGAGATTCTATACAGCCTCTAAGCAATGTGGGAAAGTGATCCATCATCTCTAGCACTGGATCTTGAAGATGCCCCTTTCCTGCTTCTAAAATTCTTCTACTCTCCCTCCATTAACTATATTACTCATATTACACATTTGGATAGCACTGTGAAAATATAGTAAATTGTTTATGCAAGATGCTATGGAGTGAAATACATCATGAAGTTTCCCAGTGAGATCACAAGGAAATCCAAACTCCCCACAGTCCCAGCTTTCATTACATGTATCCTACACTCAAGCCAAAACGAAACCAGATTGCAGTTTACTTTACCTCTCAAACACTCCAGTCTTTGAAAGCCATTTTTTTCTTTTCAATTCCATTAGAATGCAAACCCAATAAGGCAGAAGCTTTGTCTTACTAGTATTTCCCAAAAACCCAAAAAAATGAGTGGCACTCAACAGTTGTTGAATGAACAGAGAGCACAATGTCTGTGTCATTCACTTAACACCTGCCTTATGTTTCTTTGTTTTTAATCCTATGTCTACGTCCTATTTCCTCAACTACACTATAAACTGTTTAAAGACAGATATCATTCCTATTACATCCTTGTATTCTTGGTCCCACAAGATTGTTCTCACAACAGGAACTTAATAAATGTCAAAATGCAGAATAATGTTACAATGAAGGCATGGAGCAACAATCTCTAATTCTGTCACCACCATAAGATACTATTATTCAGCTATTAAAATGGGGACTCATAAGACAATTGTGTAGGTAGAAAAATCAATTTTTCACCCCAGCAGACACAGAGACATGTTGAGAAAAACATGAAATGTGGCACAGAACGTGGCAATTTCCAAGGCTTACTAAAGTAAACTGGACTTTTTAAAATTAATTTTAGAACTAAGCAGCTATTTCTTTTACACTAACAATATACACTTCAAGTATTTTTCAGTGCACCTGAAAATCTTTCATTCTTTGAAAAGTTAAGATATTCCTAAAACTTGAACTACAAAACAGAGTCCTCAGGCTTAATCCCATTCTGAGGAAGATAAAAGTAAGGTTCTATGGGATTCTATCAGTGTTCTCAAAACTATTAAGCATATATCATATTCCATTACAGCCAATCTGATAGGTAAACTACAGTTCTGGGAAGTCTAATTACACATTATGGTATCAAATGTTTTGAGAACTTCAACCCACATAAACAAAAGCCAATCTATCAAAAGGGAAAAAATGGTCAACAGGGAAACCTCCCACTTACCCTGTGATTTTATATCCATAGTCACATATGGGAAACTACCAAGGACAGCCATAACCTCTTCATATTTTTCATCTTCGAGGAAGTGCAGTAGATTGTGACGATCTGATTCTTTTAAACTCACCAAATCCTGAATAGTCTTAATTTTGTACTGAATTTCAAAAGAGAGAGAGAGAGAAAGAAAATAAATTCCAAAGTCATAGAATTTTTCACAAAAAGAAAATTAGCATGTTTCACTAAAACAAAATCCAGAAACTTTTAGAAAAATGCTAAGATTATACTGGGTCCCAAACTTGCAATGGTTCTGCTTACAATCTTTCAACTTTACAATGCTGAGAAAGCAATGCGCTCAGTAGAAACTGTACTCTGAATTTTGATCTTTTCCAGTTCTAATGATATTGGATACCACACTATCGTTACGCTGGGGAGCAGCAACGAACTGCAGCTTCCAGTCAGCCACGCGATCACAAGGGTGAACAATCCATACAATCATTCTGTTTTTCACTTTCAGTGAAAAATAAGTATTCAAAAAGTATTCAATAAATGACAAGAGACAGATATTCAACACTTTATTATAAAACAGGCTTTGTGTTAGAAGATTTTGCCCAACTGTAGGTTAATGTAAGTGTTCTGCGCATGTTTAAGGTAGGCTAAGCTAAGCTATGATGTTTGGTAGGCTAGGTGTATTAAATGCATTTTCGACTTAGGATATTTTCAACTTACGATCGATGGCTTTATGAGGATGTAACCCCACTGTAAGCTGAGGAAGATCTGCATACACATTTCAAAGCAAAAAATACAACTTTATAGCATTTCATGGCCTTTTATCCAAAGAAATTCAAATTTAGGATTTTTCTTTAATTACAAAGTTAATACAGGGTAATTTTTTTCATTTAGAAAAAATAAAGTTAGGGGGAAAAAACAGTAATATTCATAGAATCTTGACCCAACCAAGAACAACTGTCATTTGATATGTTCAGTTTGCTGACCCATATTTTCAATTTTAATGATAAAAACCTGTAAGAGTATGAACTTATCTCCAAGTACAACTACACCCTTAACATTTTACTATACAATATTCTCATTTTTGTTATTTTCTAAATACAGCTGTCTGTTACCGCAGTAATACCCATTTAGGCTTAAGGGATACTTAGAACAGTGTTAATTTCCAGGCATTTGGTATTAGTTATTAATATTTTACTTTCACAGACAGGGCTTAGATCATGAGGAATAGAGAATGCCCACTTTTGGATTACACAGTTTTCAATGAAAAATGTGAACAAATTTATAAGAGCAATACAATTACCTGAAAGGACAGAGAACCCATATGTGAATCTCTAATACACATTAGTTCTACATTAATATGCTACCAAATCCAATGTCTATCTCCCACCCACTTTGTCTAACGTATACAAAGTAATGTTCAAAATCTCCTATCAGAATTATAATTTGCTTTTTCTTATATTTCCTCAATTTTTTTCATTTACACATATTTTTGCCATATCTTAAGATTATCAGATCTTTACTATAGATTATATTACCTAAACTAGAAGCATCTTTATTTGATCTACTTGTGTTTTGAGAACTTCATTTTTTTTTATTCCTATTCAACCAATAAACCATTGCCCAACCTTAAAGCCAGGCATCAAACGAGTGGAAAGCACACAGTGCAGTTTTACTTTGTACATTTATTTCTGATACCATAATATAAAGTCTTAATTGCTAAAATGCACTGACCCCCCCCCCAAAATAGTAAAATCACTTATAGCAGGTAAATAGTATAAAACACCTAATTAAGAAAATGCTAACGGAACCACTTTAGGGATAGCTGTAGAGTGTTTAAGACATTCTAAATCTAAGAAATTCACAGTAAACCCTTCTAGAACACTTTTCACTTTGTGTTGCCTTTAAGTAACATGACAAACTGTTTAAAGCAGATTTTAAAGTGGCAAAGAATTACCTTTTTATGATTAGAAACTCTCCTAAGATTGTCCTCTTCAATGTGAGGGAGCTGTAGAAGGGGAGACTTAAACTGCTGAAGGCCCTGCACAGCCATCTGGGAAAGCTTCATGCAGTTTTCTAGGGATGCCAAAGTTGGAGCACGAAACTCCCTTTCTTAGAAAGAACAGGAATAAAAGAAAAAACAAGGCTGGACTTTTTATATGTTCCAGAGTATACAACTCATCACAAAAACATGACTCATATGAATATGATTAACACCCCAAATTTTAAGATCATAGTGTTGATTTTCCTTTAGAAGTTGTAAGATCCAGTATGGAGGTTCCTCAGAAAGTTAAAACTACAACTACTCTATGACCCAGCAATTGCACTACTAAGTATTTACCCAAAGGATACAAAATACAGATTCGAAGGGAGAATGCACCCTAATGTTTATAGTGGTATTATCAACAATAGCCAAACTATAGAGAGAGCCCAAATGTCCATCAACCAATGAATGGGTAAAGATGTGGTGTGCATATATATAAAATGGGAGTATTACTCAGTTATCAAAAAGCATGAAATCTTGCCATTTGCAACAATGTGGACAGAGCCAGAGTGTATTATGCTAAGTGAAAAAAGTCAGATAAAGATTAAATACCACATGATCTCATTCATATGTGGAATCTTAGGAAAGAAAAGATGAACATATAGGAAGTGGCAGGACAGTGGGGGAGGAGAGAGAAGCCCTAAGACACTCTTAATGACAGAGAATAAACTGAGGGTTGATGGAACAAGGTGGGTGAGGGATGGGCTAAATGGTGATGGGTATTAAAGAAGGCACTTGTTGTGATAAGCACTGGGTGTTGTATGTAAGTGATGATCACTGAATTCTACTCCAGAAACCAATGCTGCACTGTATGTTACTTCCTAAAATTTAATTTAAAAAAAAAGTTGTAAGATACCAAAAACATATAAACATGTTCAAATGCAACAATTATTATCCAACAAGCATTGGTTAATGCTAGAATAATTCTCTGCATCACCTCCCAAAACAGTAAATTATCAGTATCAATAACATACTGATACCATGCCAAGAACTGATATCAGCCATAACAACAAACCACAACCATTATCTCCTTTCTTAAGGGTCTCCCTTTCCATTACTGACCACAAACTTCCTCATTCTTTTTTCTTTCCCCTCAGTCTTTTTTCCCTTCATGCGAAAAATACATGTCAGATGAGTCATCATCACTTAAATTATTTCAAACTCATTGTTAAAATACAGAAAAACCTAACTCTAAAAATATTCAAAAAAAGGAAAAGGTATCTTAAATCTTTACAAATAAGTGACAAACAATTAAGACAATAAGTAAATTCAAAAACATGAGTGTGATAAAGACTTTGCATAATGGAAAATATAGGAAAGAAGTAAGAAAAACCATGAACCAGAAGTTGGAAAGCCGATTCAACTTCTCTACAGGCAGAATTACTGTTGGTGCTCATAAATCCTGAAACTATGAAGTATACTCTGCAGAAGCTTGCAAGAAAAAGGACAACATAATTAATTACATTCCCACCTCACCTTCACGGCTCCGAGCCATTATTATTAGCTGGCAGATAACATTAACCATTTCTTGAAGCAGGGCAGGGCATTTTTTCAACATAAATTGCTGATCTGCAAAGCAATAGAAAACCTGAAACAAATCATTCCACTTTTATAGTTAAAACATCTTTATCATCTATAGTCCTAGACTAATACTAAATTTAAGCTGTCCCACAAATATTTCACATGACCTCAGAATTTTACAGGTTGAACACAACAGTTTCCCCTAAGCAGCACTAGCAAAAATCAGAGAACCCTAGCTCAGATTAGATGTTCTGAAGGCAAATTTTTAGTATTATGGTGGTGTGCTTTGTAAGTTACCTCCCTTTTCTAGAACAGTTTTAAACTTAATTCTAATCTTACTATATTTAAGAACCTTAAGAATCTTCTTGTGTACCTAGTTTCTACAACTATGAATAAGTCCAAAGGCTAAGACTGAGAATAAAAGTTAACTCAATGCAGAAAGAGAAGGGGGAGGAAGGGGAAAGAGACAGACTCATTTTTATTGCATGTAACAGTTAACTATTAAGATCATCCATTGGGGTTAGTACTCAACCTAAAAAAGTATTTGTTCCCTGTTTCTTAGATAATTGGTAAGAAATGGAGATGGATTCACATCTGTACAGAATATTAGGAAAATCAGAATTACTGATTAATTTGCAATTCCAACAATGCCTAAATAGCGATCCTTCATTCCATCACAAGTATCCTATCTTACCACCAATTACTGAGCATCAACAAGCCTTGTTTTCAGAAGCATTTGATTATATTTTTGGCTTCAAAAAGGGACAGATGAAGAGGAGCTTTATTCAGAAAGAACATTTATTCCCTAGGAATAATAATTTTCTCTTGAAACTTCAAATGAAGTAATGCCAAGTAAAGAAGAAATGACAAATTCATGACACCCCTGGAAACAGCACTGTCCTATCCACTGCTTTTCTTTTACATAGAGAGGAGGCTTCAAGCAATTTAGGAAGCTTTCAATAAAGATTAAACCCTTATCAGGAATCACTGCTGGAGGTGATGGTAGTAGTGGTGGTTGACTAAAATACTTATTGTGAAATCCATTTTTCTTCCCCCAAACAGGTTGAAAAGCTTATAAAATCTTTTTTAAAAAGTCACTAGAAATTACTATATAATCTGCAACTGAATAAACATTTCTCAGAGTATTCTCTCACCTTAAAATACTAAATTTTAACATTTATCAAAATATCTTACTTTAGACCTTCAAAATATTTGTGAATTATGCAGCATAAAGATTTCTTTTTAAAAGGTCCTTGAGCAATTATTTGATGAAAAAAGAACAGGACCAAAACACTGCACCACGAGGTTAATTAAATGCACTGCTTTTGTACCATTAAAACCCTGCAGAGGGGCACCTGGGTGGCTCAGTCAGTTAAGCACCCTACTCAGGTCATGATCTCAGGTTCGTGAGATGGAGCCCCACCCCAGGCTCCATCCTCAGCTTCAAGTCGGCTTGAGAGCCTTTCCCCCTCCTTATCCCTTCCCCAGCTCATGTGTGCTCTCTAAAATAAATAAAATCTTAAAAAAACAAAAAACCCTGCAGATATTAGAATCATACCTTCTTCAAGGGTCTCAGGAATTTTCATTCTAGCAAGATGAGACAGTAAAAGAACTCTGGCTTTCAGGCTATATGGGCAGGTAAGTGGAGGTTCATTCTTCTTTAAATTAATGCTGCCAATTTCTCTGATTAGCTACAGTAAATAAAATAATTATTAAAAAATATACCTAAAAAAGCATTAACCTTAATACCTAAATGCTTATATCAAAGAATCTGGGCAATAGGCCTAACCTGAGGTATTAAAATATTATCTGTTGGTCTGCTTGTGGCATCTTTATTATACTGAGGATCAAATTCAGAGGCTCCAGCCAAAACCATGATAAGACCTAAGAAAACAAAAGTAACATGAAGGTAAATAAATACATTTGCTTACCTAATAATTTCCTCTCCTATGATATTTCATTAATCCTACACTAAGGCAATTTTCCACTTGCTCGTAAAGCTAAAAATCATCTGCACTCCACTAACAAGTATTCATTTTTCCCATAAAAAACATTTCACTTTTTAAAACACGTACAATATTACCTATCACAAGTAAATAGAAATACACATCAAATTAAGGGCCCGAAGCACTGGATGCATGAAAATCAGTTCAAACAGCATTTGTTTCTAGACTTAAGCATGTATTCCACTGAAACTTTCTATAGAGTAATTATTAAGTAATTATTAACTAATTATAGAGTAATTATTATTAAATTATTAATAATAAGTAATTATTAATTATTGATAACTATTATGTGAAAAAGAGGGGACTCCATAGTTAAGCAAGGCTGAGAAACAAGGAGTTAAAAAGAGTTTTAGGTGTCTTTACTTCATGACTTCTCAAAGTCTTAAGTAAACTGAAATACTCTGTAATTTACAGAAATTTTTATTACGGAATTCTGGAGGGTTTGTGGGAAGTGTTCTTTGATGTACACATGATTCGCAGCTACATATACTATTAGCATTACTCGTTAGCTCTTTAAAGACTGGCACTACAGTCATCAATCTTACCTTCTGGCAGAAAATACATACAATGTATTCACAAAAAGCAGGACGGTACAGAGGTTAACAACATAGACCCTAGAGTTTCACTCCCTAACTAAATGACCTAGGACAATGTTCTTCACCTCTCTATGGGCCTCACTTTCTAAGGACATGCCTGACACACAGCAGGCACAGTATATGTGTATGCCAATCACTACCCTCAAATGTTTCATGAAACAACTCCTAAAACAGCTATACAATAAATGACACCAACACTGAAGTAATCTAGGATACATAGCCAAGCCCACCAGCAGCTAAACAATGCTTTTCAGGCAGAACTGTGTAAGGAAAAGTGTCACCATCAGAAATAGAAATCATGATCACTGATGCAAAAAACACATTAAAACACATTATAAACATGAAGCACTTTCATAAGGGGGTTTCTATATTGATACTTCAGTTCAACATAAGGAAAAGTGATATATGTGTACAAAACAGAAAGTAACAGCCACTTATTCCTCAGAAGTAAAAGATTTGCTCATTCCAAAAATAAAAGATCTGTTCACATAGTCATAAGATTCTGAGAAGTCTCTTTTCTGAGAAGTCTTTTTCTATCAAAAAAAATTAATAAAACTGGCAAATCAAAACTACAGAAAACTCCATTTAGGTTTTGGAACAAAAATTTTTTAAAATTTGTATCTTCCTTTTTTTTTTCCCTAAGGAGGGGAAGGAGGGCTTGTCTATATGTCTATAAGTTCTGCAGAGCAGTGATTCTGAAAGGCAATACTATATGCTCCAAGGATGAAATTTATAATGTTAGCTTTATGGAATCAAAGAAAGTATTTTAGATGACGTTTTTTTTTTCCATAAAGAAATTCTGAAATAAGACTCTGGGAATGAAACACTCTGGCAATTTTCTTTCAACATATCCAAGACCTCTACTTATTTTATTGAAACTAATACAGTATAATGCACTGATTTAGGGCCTGGAAACCAGACTGCTTGAGTTCAATCCTAATTCTACCACTTACTGTATGCATCCTTAAGCTCAGTTTCCCCATCTACAAAATGTGCTTAAAAACAGTAACTTACTTATGGGAGCAAAATAAAGATTAAATGAGTTAACACATACATATTCCCTAGCAATGCCTGGTATACAACAAAATACTCAAGAAATATTAGCTAGTATTATTACAAAATTAGCCACATGAAGCTTTGCCATAAAATTTCTAGGGGGAAAAAAATATATATATATATAGCTGAGTAAGTGGTAATAATAGAAATACAGTACATGTGGACAAATAGTGTTAGCATTCTCCTCCAGCTTTAGTTATTTGAACAGAATACAAAACTGAAATGAAATGTCTCCAGTTGAATATGTATCATATAAATGATTCAGAAAATAAAATCATAGCTACTTAAATTTACTTACGTTTCATATCCATATTTCGGGTTTTATAAACAAAATATGTATAAATCTGTGTTGTGCGTATTAGGATCTGGTCTCCACTATAGCGTATTGAGCGATACCACCAAGAGCCCTAAAATGCAAATAAAATTAAACAATAAATAAAGCATCAAAATCACAATAAATATTAGGTTTGATGCAGAGTATGTTTCTGGTCAAATTTTCTAACTGTTCATAACAATACCTGAACTTAAGAACAAATGCTTTGTTACAAATTTCAAATTATTCAGCTAGTATTTATACTGCCCAACACCTAAACATCAACCTACCTCACTATATGTAGGATTAAAATATTTATGGTTCAGTTAGAAGCTGAAGACAAAACAGAAACAAAACAACCCACTGCATAAAAGCAACAAGCTGGTTCCTGACACAGTTTGTATTTAATAAATATTTGGTAAGTTATAGTGCAGGAGCAATTTTATAGTTGATATGCTATTTCATTCACATGATTCCATGTAGCTGGATCCTCACACAACAAACCTATGAAGAAGGCAAGACAAGTTAATTATCAAGCTTACTATGGGGACTCAGAGGAACTATAAGCCCAGAAAGAAAACCACCAGTCACAAAAGAAACAGTAAAATCATAAACTTTATGTTATCTCCATATTGAGTATTATGAAATAGTTTTTAAAAATAAAGTTGCTCTGTATGTTATAGCTCCAATATAGGAAGCAAAAAAGTCACAAAATAATACATACAGTAAGATAACATATTTTTTTTAAAGTGTGTATGTATATACAATCTACAGAAAACTATCTGAAAGGGGTGTCTGGGTGCCTCAGCTGGTTAAGCATCCAACTCAATTTCTGTTCAGGTCATGATCTCAGGGTCCTGGGAACCGGCCCTGCACTGGGCTCCATGCTCAGCAGAGAGTCTGCTTGAGATTCTCTCTCTCCTTCTCCACTCTGCCCCTCCCCCCTCAAAAATAAATAAAAATTTTTTTTAAATCTCAAAGGGAGAATACCAATCTTATTGGTGATTTTCCTAACAAAGAAATGAAGCTGAAGTTGATGAAGGTGATAAAGGAAGACATTCTAAACTCTAAATACACCTGTATTATTTCAGTTGTGTGTAACTTTTGTATCAGGAGGAGAGATACTTTAACATACTCAAATGGTATCACCTTTAGAAGACCTTTAAAGTTTAGCTGAATATAAGATTCTTAAAATTCAAGGATCCATGTATTATATTCTAATACAAATTGCAATCTTATAGGGAGACTCCAAAGCATGCCATCAATTCCCTTTCCAAAAATTGTTAATAAAGAATTAGAACTTACTACAACAACTGGAAGGATAACCATGAATGCTAATCCATATACAAGTAAAACCTAGAATTGAAAAGAAAATAATTATGGTTTTCACACGTCAATTGTAACATTTAAGAACACTTATTTTTAGGCCTATATGGGGGAGGCACTCTCAAAAGCACTCCTCACATATTATTTTATTTAATCCTTATTTTCAAACTCAGTGAGAAAGGTACCATTATTATCTCCCTTTTGCAAATAGAGAACTTGCAGCACACACAGGTTACATGACTTGCCGCAGGTTACATAGCCACTAAGTGGTGGAGCGAGGAGCGGAATCCAGACATTTCGACTCTAAAAATGTATGCTTTTATCTACTATAATAAATTATCTTTTAATCTGCTGAGTAGATAACACCATCAAACCAGCTTTATAAATGATATTGTCCATCCAGATACTTACAAATGCACACCTTAGCAAGTAGTTAGTGTCTTAGAAATAAATAATAGAAGCCTGGTTCCCATCAAGGAGCAACTTCATAATGTTCTGTTGACAAGTAATTTCTATCTATTGGTCTTAGATTTTTCTACTACTACTTGATCCCAAATCAGTTAGCTAACTATCTTTCTCTTCTCCAGTATTCCCACAGTAATTCTAAGCATGACAGACTCTTCTATATACAAAACCATTTATCCCTGAAGATGATGAATGCTTGTCAGCCATGAAATAACATTAAACAGCCATTTTTCTAAACAAATTACAGACTATATGAATTTTGTTTTTTATTGCTTCAAAGACAGCCCCTAATTGTTTTTAAGAAATGTGAAATAGGGAAACATCTATTCTTAGTTTATCTTAGTTTAAGATGTTTTAGAGTTATAGCATTATCACTGATTAAAATCTGATAGCCTGGGGTGCCTGGGTGGCTCAGCTGGTTGAGTCTGCTTCAGATTCTTTCTCCCTCCCCCTCTGCCTCTCCTCTCTCTCTCTCCCATGTAAATAAAATCTTAAAAAAAAAAGAAACTCTGATATCCTACTGCCTCCCTAAGTACCATAGGGGATATATATAGCATTAATTTAGTATATGTTAACATTATAATTTAGCTTGGATAAATGTGAAATGAAGGATAATTTCAATTTTGAGTACTATTTAGGATACCATATAAAACCATAGTTCTCCAAACCAAGGATAAGACCTGACCTGAAACTGCTCCAAAAGAAATCACAACTGAGGTTTTAAAACTACATTTAAAACACACTGCCCGTACAACAACCGAATGAGAACCAATTCTTTTTTCTATCATGTAAAAAGTTTTCACAGTACAGTTACATTAAAAACAGCACATCAGTATTTTGTTATAGCTCTCTTTATATTACTAAGATATATCTAACACATGATAATGTGTCTTATTTACATGCACTCACCAAAATTGAATTTTTCTGGTCGACAATCCAAGCTGGCAAGGCAATTCCAAAGCTTGTGGCTAAAATAGAAAGAGTTATTTTAGAAGAATCTCCACTTTCAGTTTTATTATTTAGTTATATCCTGAAATTCTGCCTCCCAACTCCCCCCACCCCAAAAAAAGCTTTGAGAAAGATTATATAATGTGTGTTCCCATTACATAAAAGTTCATGGATTTTTCAGGGAGGGGGAGAGAAAATCAACCAAAGTACATGAATTCCTCCTTAGTAAATCTAAATTCCTGGGTATGCAAACACTATGAATATACAAGAAAATGTTTAAAGTCAATAAAGAAAAACAGATTGTTTTCAGCCAACTTTTATCAACTGCTAGCTGGAAATTCTGAATAATTACAGTGATTACTCGTCTCATCAATCCAATCTAAGTTCTATCTTTCAAACTGGTTGCTAGAAAGAAAAATAAAAATTAGCTAAAGAGAACTCATTTACATATCTATTTAACTCCTTGAGTTATAATTTTCTTAATCACAAACTAAAAAGATCAAAATATTCCTTTCAATCTATTAATATTTCCATTTTATACATATATATATACACATACACACACATAAACACACACACACACGCCATATCACCAGTAATTTTTAATTATTATTTACCACACCTTGAGGGCCATCTGGATTTCCAAACTCTTCCCAATTTTTCCGCGACTCTTCATCAGTTAAACTATCATTAAAAGAATAAAACTGCAAAATTAGAAAGCCATTATCTGGAAAGTACTCATATATACAAACTCTATTAGCTAACCAACTCATTTCTTATAGATATTAATTTTAGAAAATCAAGAAAAGCCTCTCTGAAATCAGCAAAAAAAGAGAGGAAAGCAAGGAGTTCTACATTTAAGCAAATGAGAACTACTGAGCCTTCACAGAAATTCCTAGTTGGCCCATGGGTTCTCAAGTTTTGCCAGTTCAAGCTGGAAGATAAAACTTTAAAGGTTACTACATTTTTCTGAGAAGGCAGGGAGGATTATACGTGACTTTTTTCTTATATCCTTATATATTTTCCAAAATTTCTTCAGTGACCATTATTTATACTTTAATAATATGTACCTACTTATAAACTTAATAGAAATTGATAATAATCCCTCCAAAACTGGTACCACATTCTCAAAGGAAAAAATGAACACCTATAAAATTCCATTGCTATAGAAAAGGTCATTTGCATTATACCGAGGTCACAATTTTCTCCTAAAACAAATGCCAGAAGGACTTGGAAAATACCTGCTAAAGCAAGAGTTTCCTAACCCAGCAATATAAAAATGACAGAGTGATTTTTCGAACACGTAAAAAGAAATATAACTCTTGATCTGGGCTATGGCCAAGGCACAGAATGAAAGTGGTTTTATTCCAGGTCCCAAAATAGATGTTAAAAACACACTAAAAGAAAATTTCAGTTCCTTCAAAAACTTTACAATGTTGTTAAGCAGACAAGGCAGACACACACAAAATGATGAGTAACATCATTAGAAAGGCATTTTTTGAAGACCAAGTGGCAAAAGATTATGTTTATGTCCAAATCAAATTTTAACCTTTCCAGAAATACACACATAGGATAGAATGTAGTTTTCTATTCAACAAGAGAGAAAATACAGAAGTACCTTTAAAAAAAATAGCAAAAATTTTCAGTGACTTCAATTTTTATTCTCTAAACCATAATTTCTATTTTTTATTATTTTTTTAAGTAAGCTCTATACCCAACGTGGGGCTTGCACACTCTACCGTCTCAGCCAGCCAGGTGCCCCTAATTTTTTTTTTAAAAGATTTTATTTATTTATTTGACAGACAGAGATCACAAGTAGGCAGAGAGGCAGGTAGAGAGAGGAAGGGTAGCAGGCTCCCTGCTGAGCAGAGAGCCCAATGTGGGGCTCTATCCCAGGACCCTGGGATCATGACCTGAGCCAAAGGCAGAGGCTTTAACCCACTGAGCCACCCAGGCGCCCCCTAATTTTTTTTTAATTGAAGTAGAATTAACACATAATACTGCATTAGTTTCAGATGTACAAAATAGAGATTGACAAATTTAACAGATATGCTATGTTTACAAGTGTGACTACCATCTTTTGCTACACAATGCCATTATGATACCATTGACTATGTTCCCTATGACTTATTTTTAAAAATCCCCTTTTATTCCCATGACTTATTTTTTCTGTAAATCTGTATCTCCTACTCCCCTTTACCCAATTTGCCTATCCCCCCATCCCTGCCCCTTCTGGCAACCTCAGTTTGTTCTCTGTATTAATGGGTCTGTTTCTGCTCTTCGGTTATTTGTTTTGTTTTCTAAGTTCCACATATAAGTGAAATCATATGGTATGTCTTTCTCTGCCTTATTTCATTTAGCATAATACCCTCTAGGTACATCCATGTTGTTACAAATGGCACAATCACATCCTTTTTTATGGATGAATAATAGTCGTGTGTGTGTGTGTGTGTGTGTGTGTGTATGTATACCACATCTTCCTTATCCACTCATCCATCAATGGACACTTGGGTTGTTTCCATATCTTGGCTATTATAATTAATACAGAAATAAACATAGGGGTGCATGTATCTTTTTGAATCAATGTCTTTGCTTTCTTTAGGTAAAAACTCAACAGTGGAATTACTGGCTCATACGGTATTTCTATTTTTAATGTTTTGAGGAACCTCCACACTATTTTCCATGGTGGCTATACCAATTTACATTTCCACCAACAGTGCATAGAAATTGCCACATCCTTGCCAACACTTATTTTTCTTTTTGATTATAGCCATTTTGACAGATGAAAGGTGATAACTTGTGATTTTGATTTGCTTTTCCCTGATTAGTGCTGTTGAGCATCTTTTCATGTGTTTATTGACCATCTATATGTCTTCTTTGGAAAAATGTCTATTAAGGTCTTCTGCCCTTCTTTTAATTGTATTGTTGGTTTTCTGGTGTTGCATTATGTAAATTCTTTATATATTTTGTACATTAACCCCTTATTGAATATATCTTTGCAAACATCTCCTATTCAGCAGGTTGCCTTTTAGTTTTACTGGTTTCCTCCACTGTGCAAAAGCTTTTTATTTTGGTGTAGTCCCAAAAGTTAATTTTTGCTTTTGTTTCCCTTGCCTTACAATCTTCTTTTAAATCTTTTTAAGTAGGCTCCACGCCGAATGTGGGGCTTTAACTCACAACCCTGAGATCAAGAGCTGCATGCTCTATTGACTGACTGAGCCTACCAGGCACCCCTGCCTTATGATTTTTATCTAGAAAAATGCCGCTATGGCGGATCTCAAAGAAATTACTGCCTATGTTCTTCTAGGTGTTTTATGATTTCAGGTCTCATAACTAGGTCTTCATAATCTATTTTGAGTTTATTTTTGTGTATGATGTAAGAAAGTGGTCCAGTTCAATTCTTTTGCATATAACTGTCCAGTTTTCCCAGCATCATTTTTGAAGAGACTGACTTTCCCCATTATATATTTTTGCCTCCTTTGTAATAGATTAATTGACCATATAAATGCAGATTTATTTCTGGGCTCTCTATTCTGTTCCACTGATCTGTGTTCTATTTTTGTTCTATTTTATACAGTTTAGTTACTATAACTTTGTAGTATATCTTAAAACTGGAACTGTTATACTTCCAGCTTTTTCTTCAAGATTGCTTTGGCTATTTGAGGTCTCTTGTGGTTCCATATAATTTTAGAATTATTCTAGTTCTGTGAAAAATGCTATTGGTATTTTGATAGGGGTTATATGGGATTTGCAGATTGCTCTGGGTAATACAGACATTTTAAGAATATTAATTCTTCAATCCATGAGCACTGAATATCTTTCCATTTATTTGTATCATCTTTAATTTCTTTCATTAAGTGTTTTATACAGAGTACAGAGGTCTTTCACCTCCTTAAGTTTATTTCTAGGTATTTTATTCTTTTTAATGCGATTATAAATGAAATTGTTTTTTCTTAAATTCTCCTTCTGCTATTTCATTATTAGTGCATAAAAATGCAACCAATTTCTAGGTATTAATATTGTATTCTACAACTTTAGTGAATCTATTTATTACTTTTAGAAGTTTTTTGGTGGTCTTTAGGGTTTTCTGTGTATAGTATCATGCCATCTGCAAAAGGTCACAGTCTAACTCTTTCCTTACCAGTATGGATGTCTTTTACTTATTTATTTTTTCTTGTCTGACTGCTTTGGCTAGCACTTCCAGTACTATGTTGAATAGAAGTGGTCAGAGTAGAGATCCTTGTCTTAGCTCAGTTTTTCACCACTGAATATGATGTCAGCTGTGGGTTTTTCATATATGGCCTTTATTATGTTGAGGTATATTCCCTCTAAGCGTTTAGGGAGAGTTTTATCATAAAACAGATGTTGAATTTTACAAAATGTTTTTTCTGAACCTATTGAGATGATCATCTGATTTTTATTCCTCCTTCTATTAATGTGGTATATCACCCTGACTGATTTAGCAAATACTGAGACATCCCTGCATCTCCAGAATAAATCCTACTTAATTGTGGTGAATGATCCTTTTAACGTTATTGAATGTGACTTGGTAATATTTTGTTGAGGATTTCTGCACCTATGTTCATCAAGGATTGAAAATATTTTAAACTTACAATTTGGTCATTTATGAAAACAAGTACATTGACATCTTCAGTCCCCTTTTAACTTTAACTCCACTTATACCATTTGACCTAAGTCCACAGAAAAATACAGAAGCCAACAAAAAGCACTGAGGAGAGGTTGCAAGTTTGTAAGAAGGGGTGCTTATAGTGGCTCTTTTTTGCTAAGGGAGGGATATTTCTCAAAAAATTTTGCCTCGGTTTCCCTGTACAACTGTCCACTTACCCAGGGCTTTTGCTATTATTTTTCTTCTAATCAGATTCTTTTCCAAAAAATAATTATCTGCTCTACCTTTCTGATGATGGCAGCATAATAAACTGCTCTGTTCTTCATACAAGACCCTCAGATTTTGCAAAATAAAGTATAGCTCACATCATAAAAGCACTTGATTTTTTTCAAACTGCACACACAGCTAATTGCCATTCCAATAATTCACTCATTAAGCTAACTTTGTACAACTGTTGTGTGACAGGCACCATGCTCCATACTCAATCAAATTAAAGGAACTATATCATAAACTTTTTTAAGAAAGCAACGTTTTTGGCTATTCATTAGTGCTTCAGTATAACACCATTCCTAAAACCTAAAGTACTTAGAAGTCATGTAATTCTAGGGGTGCCTGGGAGGCTCAGATGGTTAAGCATCTGCCTTCTCTCAGGTCATGATCTCTAGATCCTGGGATCAAGCCCCCTGTAGGGCTCCCTGCTCAGTGGGGAGTCTGCCTCTCTCCTTGTTTGTGCTGGCTCTCTTGCTCCCTATCCCTCAAATGAATAAATAAAAAATCTTTTAAAAAAGTCATGTCATTACGGGGCGCCTGGGTGGCTCAGTGGTTGAAGCCTCTGCCTTCGGCTCCGGTCATGGTCTCAGGGTCCTGGGATCGAGTCCCGCATCGGGCTCTCTGCTCAGCAGGGAGCCTGCCTCCTCCTCCTGTCTCTCTCTGCCTGCCTCTCTGCCTACTTGTGGTCTGTCAAATAAATAAAAAGAATCTTTAAAAAAAAAAAAAGTCATGTCATTTTAGTATAATTCATATATAATGAGCTTAAACAAAACCAATGATGTTAACAAAATTTTTAAAAATTCAATTGAGTATAAAGTTTCCTAAACATGATTATATCCCTTAACTTTGCAGGTGGGAGGTTGTGTCATAGATTCTATTAGAAATCTGACAAAAATCTCTAACCTTCTGGCCCTGGAAAATTGCATAGTTACAAATACACATAAATTCTGTATATAGTTTCAGGGACCCCAGATCTTATATCCTGATCTAGAGAATGTTTTCGCTAAATTATAGGTGAATGACCCCGAGCTCACTACATAAAGCTAAGTTACGTATTCATACATAGGAACACATGAAAACATGTGTTTAAAAAAATTGAGCTTTAAAGTAACATCTACATTTTCCACTTGTTATAAAGTAGCTTAAACATGGGCTTTTTACCCAATACCAAATCCCAACTATATCCAAAAGAAACCAGAAACTATGAACCAGAAAATCCAACAGTTTGTCTAACTCTTCAAAAATAACCAGACCTCCTTTCCTTTAAGTTAGAAACCAGTATGAAGCAATAGGAATGACCCAGCTTGTTATTATAATGGGCAAATAAGGGAAGAGAAAATATCCTGACTAGCCAAAGCAAATTCTATAAAAACTTTGCAGTTCAAAGCCTGTAAATGCATTCCAAAGGCTGCCTGAGTTATACTTAGGCTGCTAGGGCTATGCATAAAATGGGAACTTCAATCAGCGAGAACTTATATTTATCTAATCCATTTATACCTACACAAGTTACAAGATCTCAAAGTTCTGGGTCCCATAATCATTTTACTCCTTCATGTGTCTGATGGACCATCAACTATTTAATACATTTTACTTAAAAAACATTTTTTTAAAAGATTTTATTTATTTGACGGAAAGAGACAGCGATAGAGGGAACACAAGCAGGGGGAGTGGGAGAGGGAGAAGCAGACTTCCCACTGAGCAAGAAGCCCGATGCGGGGCTCCATCCCAGGACTCTCGAATCATGACCTGAGCTGAAGGCAGACGCTTAATGACTGAGTCACCTAGGAGCCCCTACTTAAAAAAACATTCTAAAGCTTGATCATACAATTAAGTTAAAACCAAAGGCCATATATTATTCTTTTGTACTTTTTAGGATAGAGACCATACAAGATAAAGAGTCAGATTTCCAGTAACCTGAGAATAAAATCATGAACTTAAGAACATTACAATACCTGAAAACTGAGGGGGGGGGGAATCAAAAGCACTAAAATTAAAACTACCAATTAAACAATCTTAGCTATCTTCAGTTTTTCTCAAATTACCTGAAGACAGCAACTAAGCACTGAAACACTTGTGCAATGAAAGTAAATGCTTGGAGAAGACACAATGAAAAAAGGGGGAGACACCAACTGAAAGACAGCAATCTGGAGAACATCTGCTATGCAGAAAACAAAATGTAGTACATGCTTCAGGAAGTTCCTGAAGACACTGCTTTATCACAGAATAATATATATATAACAAGCAACTCACAAAAGAGAGGAAAGGAGACACAGTCAATATACTTCATTAAGCACAAAATGAACATTTCCCAAACTTCTGTAAGTCATATACCAGTTGCACTTGCTATCACATCTGAGTATCCTATTTACTTCTTTTTTTTTAAGATTTTATTTATTGATTTGACATAGAGACAGAGACCATGCAGAAGCAGGGGAAGTGACAGGCAAAGGAAGAGGGTGAAGCAGGCTCCCTCTTGATCCCAGGACCATGCAATCATGATCTGAGCCAAAGACAGATGCTTTACCTACTGAGCCACCCAGGCGCCCTTCCTATTATTTACTTTTATTTTTAAAATCAGCACAAAATTATACATCACTGAGTTCTCTAAAAATAGGCAACATCTTGTCTGTATTTTACTCTTTAATTTAACATAGGAGCTGAATGGGGACATGCCTATGAGTCTTGAAGAATCCAGCTAACGTTTATCTCTTGTCATATTAACACTCAAGGAAAAACTACCTATAATTTTATATACTCTACCTTGTTTCCCAAAAATTAAACTAGTCTTCAGATAACTTAGTAAGACAAGCTACTTTTCCAAAATAAGAGAAATAGAGCTTGTCTAAAAAAAGGCTAGAAATGAAAACAAGGTATAAATATATCCTCTTCTAATGAGAATGCTTTGAAAATTAATTAACATTATCATGTACTACTTAGGTACTCTCATTGTACCTAATACTTAGGTAATAATGTTAATTAATTTCCTAAGCATATACTTAATTTAACCAACTTCCCAGGGCAAAAGCACTACTCTAAGATACTTAGAATTCAAGTTTAGTTAAATTAGCAGTTTAGGGTTGTCAGGCAGTTCCATAAATAAGACTCAACATATAAGGTCAGTATTTAAAAGCATATGACAACTATTTTTTTTAACCACTCCTAAAAATGTGTAATGGGTCCTATGATACTTACGCTGCATAAGCTTTTGCTATCCTCATGAACATAACTTCATCACCTCCTTTATCTGGATGATATTTAAGTGACAGCAAACGATACTGTTTCTTAATCTCTGCTACTGTTGCCCCCTAAAAAGAAAGCTTTGTTTAAGTAAAAATAAGCACAATGCTGTAAAAACATAATTCATCCCATTCTGAACTTTAAACATAAACTATTCAACATTTTCAGAAAGAGAAAATGTTTTCTTCCTATATGCTGTCCCATGTTTCATACCATGTATTTTTTAAATAAAAATATACTTATTTTGTCTAATGTTTATTTTATTGAGCACCCACTAGGTGTTGTGTGGTATACTAGGCACCAATGATTTAAGAATAAAACCACACAATGTCATATTAAAATAAAAGGATAGTAGCATTTAAATGATCACAGTAAATTAAGTCTGTCAAGAAATTCTCAAATCAAAGGTTAACTTCTTTTCTAAGAAATAATCAGAAGAATATCTAGTTTCATTTGTTTACAAATATTTTAATATTAAACACTCAAGAAGTTTACCTTAGCTGTTTCCTAATTAGACTCAATTTCTATTAATAAATTTTTCATATTGATTTTTATGGCATTAAATTGCCCCCCCAAATCTTTTAATCTTAAAAAAAATCTCTCCTGATGACCATAATCATCACAAAAAGAAAAATAGATGATATGATGCAAATTCGGCTTTTACAAAACAGAAAACTAGAAGACATGTTTTGTATTGGTATTACATGAATACCTGGATATCTACTGAGCAAATACTAGAAGTAAAGAAAGTGGTTTGGGGAAAAAATGGAAAGAGCACTAGATTCAGTTTGACTCCAGACAAGACACAAATTTTCCAGGCCTCATTTTCTCCACTGGAAAAAAAGGCTAGATGGTCTCCAGCATTCATTTCAGTTCTAACTTTCCACTGATAAAAGACTAATTTTCTATTGGGACCCATCTTAATCAAGTTCAATCAAGAGATTACCTAGGGAGTATATCCAAGGTTAACCTCAATTTCCACTAACGATGAAACCAGTTCTTTGTAAGACATAAAGACTTAACACACTGCTTTAGTGTCAACTAACACAGGATCATGATATTTTTACCCTCCAACTAACATAAATGAACCTCCTGGTTTTAACTTTGCATTAAACCAATCTTATAAAAGTCTTTTAAAAATATCCTAACTTCTCATCTCATCTTCCAATATTCTTTTTTTTTTTTTTAAAGATTTTATTTATTTATTTGACAGAGAGAGATCACAAGTAGACAGAGAGGCAGGCAGAGAGAGAGAGAGAGAGAGGGAAGCAGGCTCCCTGCTGAGCAGAGAGCCCGACGCGGGGCTTGATCCTAGGACTCTGAGATCATGACCTGAGCCAAAGGCAGCGGCTTAACCCACTGAGCCACCCAGGCGCCCATCATCTTCCAATATTCTTATATTTAGCAATTTAAAACCAAGCCTTATAGGATGGAAATTAACATCTGTAGCTTAAAAAACATATATACATTAGAATAACAATGGATTACATATCCAAAGTCTGATTTCTTTAAGCATAACCCAATTCCTTTTAGGATATGGGCTTACAGTATTTTCACAGGGTCAATAAACTATTGTGCATTGTATAAAAATACTACTTACAGGATCCAAATTTAATACTTCATAAGGATTGTATTCTTGATATTCTCGGTCTGTTTTGGAAACTTTGTATGCAAGGAATAAGAACAATGCCCATCCTGCAAGCAGAACTATTTTCCTGTTTGGGAAAAAGATAGGTAAAGTATAAATAAATATACCTATATGGTTTTCCTTTAAGAGTCTATAAAAACATGACCAAACAAGGCTATAAAACAATCTAAAGTGTCTTACATCGCTATGATATTGATTCAGTTCCATAATCTCTGAGTTGTAAATTCCTATCACAACCTGACTTTTTACTCTGAATTCTCTAGAACCCAGCAGTCTGCATCTAGAATCTTGCATGTAATATTCCTTCATTACTATTTGCAGAATTTTATGTATAGAACTTAATTCAATTTATTAACTTATTGGTCTCATATTAGATCAAAATATACTAAGTATTCAGTAAACCATTTATGTAATTAAAAAAAAAAAACAAGAGCTGTTCTTAACCTAATAATTAGACTTTAAGTAAGATAAACTGCAAAAAATAATGGGTCAATTGTGCAATGAAGAATGAATAGCCTTGTTTATAACAGTAAAACTTAAGAAACAAATTAAATATCCATTTATATGGAACCAATTAAATAAACCATTTATAGGAGACTAATAAACCAAGACACAGCCAAATCATTAGCCAATACAGATATAAAAAGATGTAAACAGTAGGATAAAAAGGGATATAACAGAATACAGAAGTTGAAAAAAAACCTAACTCCTTTTCTCCAGTATGTTCTGTTTAGTAAAAATATTTAAAAGACTGATACTATTAATGTTGGAGAGGCTGAAAAAAAGGAACACTCATACCCTTTACACTCTGAAGGACTACCTGGCAATAAGGTATCAAAACCCTAAAGAAGTATACAAACCCTTTTAACTATTTCAAGAAATTTAGAAGGAAATAACTAGAATTAAGCATATAAAGTATAAAAAGCTGATTACAGATATAGAACAGAAATAATACACTGAATACACAGAAATAATAACAGAAAACACACCAGAGATGCCCATCAGTAGAGTAGTAAACAAATAAATTAATGGTATAGTAATAAAGTGAAATACCACCTAGCCAATAAAAACGATATCTGCTGTGGAAGATTATCTACCTTGTTAAATAAAAACAAGAAAATCAGCTTTCAAAGATATATGTATAATATGCTATTTTTAATAAATAAAAGTTTATTAAAAATATTAAAGGAAAATGATCTTAATAGTGGCTATATTTCAGTGATGAAATTGAGTAATTTTTTTTTATACTCTTTATATCACAATTTGTTATGCTAAGGAGGAATTGTTAAACAAACACATAAAATGAATCTTATGAACCTAATCAAACAAAATTAGAGAGACCTTTTTTCAAAGACAGAAAATGTTACATGTGTTTAAGCTCATTTGGTCAAAACCTAGTTTAAATATGTTTATTTGGAATGAGCCTTCAGGAACAAGTTCCAATCCACCTACTGACCTTTATCACCCAAATTAAGAAAACAAAAACCAAAAACCCCACTCCCAAAGTTCCCTAAGCTTTTCCTACCAACATGCTTTTGCTCTTCAATCTTTCCACCTAGAATTCCCATTCCCCATTTCTGCTCACCCAAACTATTCATCCTTCAAGACTCACCTCAAAGCAATCCTTACCCTTGTCAAAGTGATCAATGGGGAAACCAGAGTTACTCACAAAGAAGCAGAAACCATGACTTTTCTCCTCCAACTCACTGCAAGCTCCATGAGCACGTAGACAGGATCTTACTGAATTTTTTACTAACTTACTGAAATTCTGACTAACTGCTTAAACGAAGTTGGCATTCAGATACAAATTTCTTTCCATCTGGCCAAAATAACGTTCTAATCCTTATTAAGTACCTAATACTGCAAACTGCTTTCCATACTACCCATTTCCCCAAAGGGAAAAGAATCCCTACCTAGAACACTCTCGCTTTTTCCTAGCTATCTAGGGAGAGGTACTTAAGAACATAGTCTCTGGAACAAATCTACCTGAAGTCAAATCCCAGCTTTATCACTTATTAACTTAGAGATCTTCGGAAGTTGCTTTGTCCTTTACAATTCAGTTTCTAATTTTTAGGATGGGTTTAAGAATTAAAAGAGACTAGGTATGTAAAGCACCTAGAAGGTACCTCACAGATAGTAAACAATCGATTCCTGTTAGCTGTTCTCAGTATGTCTTACCCAAACCTCACTCAGAGAAGCTTCCTGTCCCAAGACAGAAAGCCCTTCCTCTGCTCTGTCATGGCACCCTTGCCCCCTCTGCCAGAGCCCTACTAAACTCTATTATCATTACTTGTTTACTTGCTGGTTTCTCCCACAACTGTTAAGTTGCTGAACCACATCTATTTGTTAATCACAATATATCAGTTCCTGGTATAATAGGCACACAATGACTACTTATTGAATGAATAATGAAAATAATTTACATGGTAATTTTTAACTCAAACCCAAAGTCTGCCTTACCTTCGATATGCTACAGAACATGTGAATATCTATAAGTTAATAATTCCACATTTTGTTTTGCCAGTGCCCCAAAGGCTAAGAAAGCTCAGAAAACAAAGATAAAAGTAAAACTGAAAATCACTAAAACAAGACTTAAAAGCAAACAAGGGTAGAAGGGAGAGGAAATCAAAACACCTAGGATGGGGAACCCTCCTACACTGTTGGTGGGAATGCAAACTGGTGCAACCACTCTGGAAAACAGCATGGAGGTTCCTCAAAATGTTGAAAATAGAACTACCCTATGACCCAGCAATTGCACTACTGGGTATTTACCCTAAAGATACAAACGTAGTGATCCAAAGGGGCACGTGCACCCGAATGTTTATAGCAGCAATGTCTACAATAGCCAAACTATGGAAAGAACCTAGATGTCCATCAACAGATGAATGGATAAAGAAGATGTGGTATATATACACAATGGAATACTATGCGGCCATCAAAAGAAATGAAATCTTGCCATTTGCGATGACGTGGATGGAACTAGAGGGTATCATGCTTAGCGAAATAAGTCAATCGGAGAAAGACAACTCTCATATGATCTCCCTGATATGAGGGAGAGGAGATGCAACATGGGGGGTTAAGGGGGTAGGAGAAGAGTAAATGATACAAGATGGGATTGGGAGGGAGACAAATCATAACTGACTCTTAATCTCACAAAACAAACGGAGGGTTGATGGGGGGAGGGGGGTTGGGGGGATGGGGTTATGGACATTGGGGAGGGTATGTGCTATGGTGAGTGCTGTGAAGTGTGTAAACCTGGCGATTCACAGACCTGTACCCCTGGGGATAAAAATATATTATATGTTTATAAAAAATAAAAATTAAAAAATAAATAAATATTTAAAAAAACCCACCTAGGATGAACTATAACCCATGAGAGATGCTCCACATGTTGCACCTGGCTCTCTAAGAAGGAAGGGAGGATTAGAGAAGCTCATACCAGAAGCCCCCAGGCTGATGAAAACTAACCACCAATAAAATCACACTTTAATTTCCTGAAAGCTAAAGCAAAGGTGGAAACAGAATGGATTTCATCATGATCTACACCCAATTTTTTAAAAACATATTTAGGTCCTGTGAAAAGATAAGCATTTTTCCCTACATAAAGTGTCAGTGATCAACTTTGTGAAGTCTTGCGCTTTTTCTTTAAAAGTCAACTTCCAGGGGCACCTGGGTGGCTCAGTGGGCTAAAGCCTCTGCCTTCAGCTCAGGTCATGATCCCAGGGTCCTGGGATGGAGCCCCGCATCAGGCTCCCTGCTCAGCAGGGAGCCTGCTTCCCTTCCTCTCTCTCTGCCTGCCTCTTTGCCTACTTGTGATCTCTATCAAATAAATAAATAAAACCTTTAAAAAAAAAAAAAAAGTCAACTTCCAGAAATTAGAGCATTACACCATGACTGCTTAATTGTGAAACAATGCTTTAAGGTTGAGTAGCACAAAGATTTTGATGTTTCTGACCTTATCTAAATTGTTACCCAGTTATCTGTTTAATTCTTCCTCACTTACAAACATCCCTTAATCTGTGCTTCCATTTAAGTAAAGCAATTTACTAATCACTGAACAGAACTTCAGAGTTGGGTTTTTTCCATGAAAAACTGGGGTTCAGATACCCATAAAGTATTGATCAAAACCCAAAAAGGAAGAGATTGGGAGGCCAAAAATATTTGCCTTGCTACCTCCTGAAACTATAATTTAAAATGAGAAGCAAAAGCAACGAATAAACACTGAACATAAAATACTCTTCTAAAAACTAATTTTGCCTTTTAGTTTCACACCAATGAAGAAGTCTTAACACCAAAACTAAAATTTCCCTCCCTCTGCAGAGGAACTAAACTAAGCAAAGTAAAACCTTACAAAGAAAAACCATTTAAACACCTTGAAGTTACACAGATAAGTTGAAATTATCATTATTTAAGCCCAGATTAAAAAATAAATGGTTCTACTTTTACTAACTTCCTCTGCTAGTTCTTCCCCTATCTACTGGATGGACAGATATAAGTAATTTATAAGATACAATCCTCCAAAAATGGCAACTCTTTCATCTATCAGATTCACCTGTTACTGCAAAATTGATGACTCAGGATGAAAACCCAAAGCCTAGGCTCTAAACCAGCATACCCCATAGCCTTATAAAGTCAAACAGGCCTGCTCTAATTAAACATGCTAATGGCCTGTTTAATCAAACTGGCCTGCCAAAATAAAAGGTCCTGCTCTACCACTTCTAGCTCCAGGACCCTGGTCAAGTTACCTCATCTTCCTTTTAATTTCTTCATCTGACAAAACAGCAAAAACATATACTCTGAAGTTAATAATAAAATTATGAGATAACACACAAAGCCCCAGCACAGCATCTAGCATACAGTATGTGCTCAATAAACTTTAAATATCACTACAAAAAATGCAAACTTGATTATGTCACCTCCCTGCTTTTGATAATCTTTTAAAGATTCCCCCATAGTCTTTAAGGCAAAATCCAAATCCTGACAAGATGCACAGGTCTTCCTTCAAGGTTTGACTTCCCCTTCTCCCTTCCTTCCCAAGTCAGTACATTCTCTCTCCTTTGAACTTCTAAATCACTCTGTTTAGAAAGCTCCCAAATTCACACCCTACCCCCACCTAATGCTACAATTTCTTTAAACATATGTTTTATTCATCACTATATCCATATTTTATGTGTTACCTAGCAAAGAATAAGCACTATGTACTTTTTTTATTGAAATCAATTACTTACTTTACTGTAGGAATAATATTTGGCTGAGGTTTTAATAACCGTAAACGATACCACATACATCTTCCATATACTTTTCTGATATTCTTTAATCGAATTTGCTCTGTCAAAAAAAAAAAAAATAAGGTGGTAAGTTAAAGCATTTGTCACACTGAAGGCAAAACCACTTAATACCATACTAACCTTTATTACCATGCTAAAATTTTACTGGAGTATAAAATACTACCTACTCAAATAATCTTTAAGAAAAACTGACCATATTGGTTAATTTTTCTGCCACTCAGAACAAATGATCAATCTGGAAAATGTTGTTCAACTACCAGGCAACCATTTTCATGCATGACTTAAATAATTTCTAATTAAAAAATGCAAAAACTGAATTGAACCCAAAATATTTAGTCACATAATCAGCAATTTCTGAGAAATGCTCCCTTCCTTTCCCTTTTACTACAGAAGGCACAAAAAGTATAAAATAGTTGAAACATGCAGCTTATTAAGGAAGCTAAAGAGAAATAGTATTGTTCAATTATGAGAATAATTATGTTAAATGAGAGAAGTCACTCAAACCCATAAGAAGTTAAATTAGGTTCATATAGGAGTTAAAGAAACAGCATTATTTTAGTAGCCAGGAAAAATCTTCAATTCAATTAAAGAGACATTAAACCAAAGCCAAAATATCATGTATTGTTTTACTAAACTCACTATCATCACTTGAATAACTTTCCCAAGTATAAAAAAATTAAGTTTTAAAATAAAAATGTACCTTTTCATGAAGATGGCATATAGAAAAGCAAAGGAAAAAACCCTCCCCCTCCCAAAGCTGAAGCCAAAATAAAGGCTTGGAAGGCCAAGAAGGCAATGCTGAAAGGCAACCACAGCCACCAAAAAAAAAAAAAAAAAGTAAGACAAAAGAAAGAAATCTGTGTGTCACCCACCTTCTGGTAGCCCAAGACACTCCAAAGGCAGCCCAAATATTTTCCTTGGAAGAGCAAGAAGCTTGACCACTATGCCATCAAGTTCCCCCTGAGCAATGAGTCAGCCACGAAGATGATGGAAGACAACAATAATTGTTGTGTTCACTATGGATGTCAAGGCCAACAAGCACCAGATCAAACAGATTATGAAGAACCTCTATGACATTGTTAAGGGCCAAGGTCAACACCCTGATCAGGCCTGATGGGAGAAGAAGACATGTGGTCCACTGGCTCCGGACTATAATGCTTTGGTTGTTGCCAACAAAACTGAGATCGTCTACACTGAATCCAGCTGGCTAATACTAAATGGAAATTTTTCCACAATACTAGAAACTACAAAACTGGAGTTCTTAAATGAGATGATAAGTAAAAGAACTTTGCATATAACAGAATGCTCCAAAGCCACCATGCAAGAAGTCCAACTACCCTGTTACCACCATGCTTTGAGGAAAGCATCCACATAGGACAGGTATGTGGCAGGAGGTATCAGAAGCAGGTGTGAAGTGGGATCCATAAATGGGAAGGGGTGGCAACAGCAAAGGAGACCGGTATTACACAGGGGGACTGATCAAATAAATTAACACATAAAAGATAACTGGAGTCAAGTTTTTCACCATCAGAGAAGGGAGTTACACATATGAAAAAATCAAAAATAAGAATATATCATGGGGTACTGAATAGGAACTAAAGATATCAGTATGAACTAATATCTTTCAATATAGAAATACAGATGTATTCTATACATATATATTCCCTAACACTATTAAGGGAGCCTAGGAGCAGTGGGTAAGATCAAGAGCAGTGAGCATATTAATATCCAGATCTAGTTTCTAAATACCATTCTCCAATAATAGGAACAAGGGGTCCAAGTGTCTTTCCACAAAATACTATAAAAGGGAAAGGAATAACTTTACAGTGGGAAAATACGGTAGGCTGAACAACTGTCACCCAAAACGTCCATATCCTAATACCTTGAACCGGTGAATACATTATCTTACATAGCAAAAAAGACTTTACAAAGCCAACTAAATTAAGATGACATGGGGAGATGTATCCTACATTAACTGGATGGGCACAATATAATCACAGGGGTCCTTATAAGGAGGAGGCAGGAAGGTTAAAGACAAAGGTGATACGAAAATGGGAGCAGATGTTGGAGTGATGTCCTCTGAAGATGGAGGGAGGAGTCATAAGCCAATAACACAGGCTGTCTCTAGAAGCTAGAAAAGGCAAGAAAAAAGACTCAACTCTAGAGCCTCCAGGAAGAACCAGTTCTACCAACCCCATAACTAGAACAGTGAAAGTGATTTTGGACTTCCAGCCTCCTGAACTGTAAGAGAATAAATTTGTGTTGCAATAAGTCATTAAGGTAGAAATTTGTTACAGAAGCAATCGGAAACTAATATGGAAAGCCTGGTAGACATTATCTTAATCAGATGATCAGCGAACACCAACAGCATTGGGACAAAATGCAATCATATACCATCTGATCGAATGTATTAAGAGACACAAAGAATCAGTTTTGTAAAATTCCTGCCTAAGATATATAACCTGAATCTAATCATGAAAAAACACCAGACAACCCAAATTCAGGTTCATTCTACAAAATAATTGGCCTATAATCTTCAAAGTCAAAAAGCTGAAGAACTGTTCCAGACTGAAGGAGATTAAAGAAAGATGTTAATTAAATGTCATGTGTGATTCTGAACTGGATCTTCTGCTATAAAGAACTTCACTGAGACAAAACTTAAATAGGGTCTGAGAATGAAGTGGCAATGTTAATGTTTTTATTCTCATGGTTAAATTATGGACACTTTTGAAAATATCACTGGTGACTTTTTAATCTGTATTTCATTAAATTAAGCCTCCACAGTCTCCCATTTCAACTATAAAACCAAGGAAATGTTTGAAAAGGTTATAAAAACAATGCTGAATTTTCCATCAACCAGATGGCTTGATCGATTCAAAGGGATGATATTCTCCCAATCTCTGGCCCAAAAAAAGTACACATGATTTTCAGCCCCATAGTTTTTCACAGCGCGTACATGTACATTCTATGCCTCGCTCTTCCAGTCCAAAATGTAAAAGATCTTAATTTTTTAGGATAACACTGAAATCAATCAATAAGTACTACAAGCTATGGTTTACACAGTAACACACTGACATTTAGATTTCTAGCACAACTGAATATTCAAGGCACACATTCCAAATCTCTACATGAATGACCTCAAGTCAAAGTAAATATCACAAGTGAAGTCCTTCCAGTACGTTTTTTACAAGATATTTAGAATGTTAAAAAAAAAAAAAAAAGTTCATTTATAAACTTCTAGTTGTCATGGCTAGTAAAAATTATATTAATAACACCATTAACTTATAGTTTTTAAAGATATCATCCACATTTATAGAAAAGGGAAACTACAAAGTCATAAAACAACTCTGTGGTTTAAAAAACAATGTAACAACATATTATGATTGCTCTCAGCAGCTGAACATAAAGTTTTTATGTCTGTGGAAACAGTACAGGTTTGGGGGAAGGTTATTATGGTGGTGCTTCATAAGCTATACAATGTCTTAGCTAAAAGAGTCACAGCCACCTATCTGTCCATGCCAGAATGATCTGACAGGGTGTAGTATATCTCAGTGAACTCTTAGCACCATATTCCTAGAACCCAAAGAGCTGAAAGAATGCTAGCCAGAACTGAAGTTTTCAAACCTGTTTGCCTGATTATCAAAAAGAATTTTTAAAAATCATATTATCTACTTGTAGATTTCCAATTTGGCATCCCAAATTTTTTATAAGAAGTCTGAAGAGTTGCAAAAGATGTCATTTTTGACATGGAGTTAACATTTTAAAATAGAATAGTTCCATAACTTTTAAACACACCAATGCAATCTAAATACCTCAGCAATTTCATAGCCACCATCATACATTTACAAAATTTCATGAACAAACCAACCCTTTATTCTACTTCCCCCACGTAATTCTATCCTAATGTAGCATATTTTTATCCTGATAAGTCATTTCTTATAATACTGACAAATACCTCTTAAAATTAATTTTTTCTTCCCCGTGACTATTTTTTCCTAACATTTTATTTTGAAAATCTTCAAACCTTCAGAACAGTTGAAAGAATATTACAATGAACAATACCTTTCACCTAAATTCACCAAATGTTAACATTTTGCAACTCTCAGCCTTACCTCTAGTTTCCTTTTTCTCCTCCCACTCTTTTTTATCTGAACTATCTTCCTGTAAACTGCAAACATCAATAGGCTTCACCTCTAAATGCTTTAGCACATAGTGCCAAAGAACATAGTTAAGTTTATCATACTCAGGTTTGACATCTATAAACTTTTAGATGTTAATTTGATGCTACTTTTTTTGGTGCTATCAAGACAGCATAAATATTATATAAGTTGATAATTATTAAAATTAGATTAAAATATCTGCTATGCTGTCACTTATAAGCTTATAAATATCCCATAAATACCAAAACTTATTTTTAAAAGTGAAAAGTACATTTTGCCACTATTAGACAAAATAGCTTTATCTTCTAACTTAAGTATATTTTGTTAAAACTTGGAAGCTGCAGATTACCTTGAATCATTCAATTTACAGAAAATATCCCCTATATAACGAAATTGGCAAAGGCAGCCCTCACTGTTAAATCAATTAGACAAATCAAACTTGGTTAAAAAAAAAAAAAAGTATGACTCCATTTTTTCAGGTCAAATAAATATACAAATACATTGATATTTTGAAAATTTTAAAAATCACTGAGAAATAAATTTTAGAACATACCTTATAATACAGATGACTTAAATTAATAAAGCTAAATGATATAGAGAGGACATCATTTATTTAAAAGAAAAAAGTACAATATTTCTCTTTCCAAAATTCAGTGGCTATTAAAACTATTCCTAAATCCCTCAGGGGTCCAAGAAAATAGTACCAAGAGTCAAAAGGTTATATTCAATAATCCAAAAAGTCTAAAAGACATTATACATCAGTTTTCTAGCTGCCCAAAGTCTTTCTGCAGTTGGTTTAGAATTTATTACCTCACCATGATGATACTGGCTCACTCACCATTGGGACAATTTTGTTTTATTAATTTAAAAAAATAGGAAA